AAGTATGATCTCTCTCATTGCACCTCGCTCGCAACCCAGCGTCGAACACCAAGCGCTTGCCAGGGGGCACAACTTTTTTTAAAAAACTGTGGAGACCGCCAATTGATAGGTGCGAAATAGAATAGGATAGGTGGTGGTGGTGACATCATTCGTCAACCTTTTTTAATTGGCTCCGAAGTGAGTCTTTCGAGTCTTTAACTTGCAGCACAAACTTTACTCTTCAAAAAACCATGCACGAACGTACGTCTTCAGCATTTTAGTTAATGTTTTGGCTTCTGCTATAATAAATACATAAATAAAAATAGCTTTTTTGGAGAAGCCGTGGTGCAGTGGCGAAAGTATACTGTGCTACGAACGCGGTCACCTGAGATAGATTCCCAGCCACTGCAAATACCAGCCCCTGGGTGGATCTTCTTCACTAACCCACACTGACCAACATGGTGAAAGATGGTAAAAAAAAAAGAAACCCCCCATGGCTGGCGAGTTGGGAGGCTTTTTAAATTACAACTGTCTTACCACATTTTGATTTAAAGCTTTCGTGACTGCAGGGATTCATATTCTTGGTTCTTTCGGTAAAGTTACGTAGAAGGAAAACAATAAAATAATAAAAATATAAAACAATAAAATTCTCACGACGTTTCGACTGCAACACAAGCAAGAAAATTTTCTTGCTGTGGTTTTCACACCTGATGATGATTGCAAGAAAATGTTCTTGCTGTGGTTTTCACACCTGATGATGATTGCTTGTGTTGCAGTCAAAACGTCGTGAGAATTTTATTGTTTTATATTTTTATTATTTTTTTGTTTCCCTTCTACGTGACTTTACCGAAAGAACCAAAAATATGTCTTACCACAGTTGATGTTTGTATCCAATTACTACATTTTACTGAGAATATTGTTCTGAAACTCGCCGGTGAGCCGAGACATTAACAAATGCAGTGTTAAAACGCGTGCAACACACGAGGATTTAATTTATCTGGCTGCGGCAGGTGGTTGTGGGTTCTCAACGACACAGATTTGTTCAGCTCGATGCTGTGGCCTGACGCCAAAAAATAAATTATGGCAAATAATTATTTTGTTTTTAAGAATATTTATAGGATCCATAGTGGCCACGTGTCTTCATTATTATCGTCAGGCAAAACAAGTAAAGCCAAAGTCTAATCCAAGGCAAAGCCGCGGAATCCTCTTTGCATCTGAGCATACTCGTCAAACTTTGTTTTTTGCGACAGAGTTTGCTTCACACAGGAAAGGCGAGTGACTGCTCTGAAGCCAAGGGTAGCTTTGAAAAGCTCTGACAATGTCTCTTTTCTTTTCCATTGCAAGATAAAACTGTTTTTTCCTTTGCCCGAAAGGCAATTTGAACAATTGTAGCTCAACGCACAATGGTTCCAGCACATTAATAATTAATGTAAAACCAATTGCTAAAAAAATGTAGGTAAGTTGGGCTGTTTATAAATGCCATCGAAAGTTTTGGATCATTAAGACGATTCCTATTATTGGGATTGTAGTATTTTGAATAGCATATCATTATCATTACATTATTTATTTACAGAGGAAAGTCTCAATGAGTCTCAAGACTTTTTCTGGAGGGTCCCGAAAAGTTTTAACAGTAGATAGCGCTAAATTTTGATTTAAAGCTTTCGTGACTTTACCGAAAGAACCAAGAAAATAGTAGATAGCGCTGATGATTGCCACGCATTTCCCAGTAAATAAATTTGCGGCTACGTTTTTTAAAATATGGCACATTTGGACCATGACACCGGCACACATGGCCTACTCTTTTCAAATATCGCCACTGTGAAGTGGACGGTGTGCTTATTGTTTGATTAGAGCACCCTCGGCATTAACCGGGAGAGCCGTGGACACGAGCACCATGAACCTGCAACAAGCGACAAACACAGAGGGCCCTTAGCAGCCTGTCAACAATATTCTTGTTTGGGTTTTATGATCATCTCTTAGTAGCGGCTCCGATACAGAAAGAGGAATGCACAGCTGACAGCAGATAGTGTAAATTTAAGGCCTGCTGCACTAATTCAGAAACAAATATTTAAAACGTGTAATTACAGGTAACGGCACACTCCATGCCAGATTAATAATTAGCATTTTTATACAATATAAATAAAAAAACATTTTGTCGTACAGTTTGGTGGTCAACAAAAGGAGATGGTTACTCATCAACAGTGACACTTCTAAAAATGACCTGGGCCTATAAGCATACCACTTTGCTTGTAAAAAAAATATGCAAATACGACTGGATAATTTTATTCCATTTTCCAACCCATACAAAAGATTTCCTCCCACTAATGTGCAACTTCTCCGCAAGACTGCACTGCGGACAATTTTCCAATATTAAATTCACTTGCCCTGCTCTAAATATAATTGGTAATTGTAAGGTATGTAAAAGACATCCGTCTACGACAGGAATTATACGGCAGCCATTACCGACCGCATCTCACAGATAATATTCATGTTTGGAAGTGACAAGGCCACTTGATTAGAACTATATTTGAATAATTTCATCCTACAGTTTTTCAATCTGTTAAAACATTGGTGTATTAATAGGGTTTTCCCCTTTTTTCTCGCAACAAAACTGAAACCATTTTACAAGGATTCATGTCTGCATTAACCACAATACCTGCAGTCAAAATGCAAACAAAAAACATACTATGATAATATATGCATTGTCCTTGAAACTGATTGGTCCACACCAAGGGACGGCCTTCTTTTGAGCCTCGACCCAATTGGTGCTCGACCAGATGACGCCAAAAGGCGTACAGCTCAAAGACAATGCACTATCAAAGTAATGAGGGCTCGGGGTGAGCATCTACATCATTAGACCTCCTTTGCCAGTACCAAAATGTAATAATAGGGTTTTTCCCCTTTTTTCTGGCAAAAAAAACTGAAACCTTTTTACAAGGATTCATGTCTGCATTAACCACAATACCTGCAGTCAAAATGCAGGTATTGACTCCAGGTATTGTGGTTAATGCAAACATGAATCCTTGTAAAAAGGTTTCAGTTTTGTTGCCAAAAAAAGGGGAAAAACCCTATTATTACATTTTGGTACTGGCAAAAGAGGTCTAATGACATTGGTATATTCCTATGAAGAGTAAAAAAAATGTGGAAGTATTTAAATTAAATTATTCCTGTCATTTTATCATAAAAACCAGACCAGTAAACCCACGACCAACAACTAAAACTCCCAACATATTCCTCCATGTTCTGGGTTCTTTCGGTAAAGTCACGTAGAAGGGAAACAATAAAATAATAAAAATATAAAACAATATTTTTATGTGTTTTATAATTGTATTATTTCCCTTCTACGTGACTTCTTTCGGTAAAGTCGCGTAGAAGGGAAACAATAAAATAATAAAAATATAAAACTATATTTATATACGTGTTTTTATATTTTTATTATTTTATTGTTTTCCTTCTACGTTACTTTACCGAAAGAACCAAGAAAGCTTTAAATAAAAAATATTCCTCCATGTATACCGCCCGGGAGACGCAGTTGCATTCACATGCTTTGTGAATTTTTAAACGAACCGCACTCCGATTATGTCATTCGTTATTTTTAGTACACAACACAAGCAAACGCGCAAAGAAAACCCCCCATATGCTTCCCGACCTGTCCAATAAAGAAGACGAACATTTCCTCTCTCGGTTCCCACATGGACGCATGCTCACCGGGGGAGGGGATCGACCGCACGGCGCGGGGGTCACGGGACTGGGCAGCCCACACCAACACGCATTGAGTTGGAGCTCTCTGTGAGAGGGGGGTCAAGGGACTGGGCAGCTCACACCAACACGCATTGAGTTGGAGCTCTCTGTGAGAGGGGGGTCACGGGACTGGGCAGCTCACACCAACACGCATTGAGTTGGAGCTCTCTGTGAGAGGGGGGTCACGGGACTGGGCAGCTCACACCAACACGCATTGAGTTGGAGCTCTCTGTGAGAGGGGGGTCACGGGACTAGGCAGCCCACACCAACACGAGTTGGAGCTCTCTGTGAGAGGGGGTCACGGGGACTTGGCAGCCTACACCAACACGCATTGAGTTGGAGCTCTCTGTGAGAGGGGGGTCAAGGGACTGGGCAGCTCACACCAACACGCATTGAGTTGGAGCTCTCTGTGAGAGGGGGGTCACGGGACTAGGCAGCCCACACCAACACGAGTTGGAGCTCTCTGTGAGAGGGGGTCACGGGGACTTGGCAGCCTACACCAACACGCATTGAGTTGGAGCTCTCTGTGAGAGGGGGGTCAAGGGACTGGGCAGTCCACACCAACACGCATTGAGTTGGAGCTCTCTGTGAGAGGGGGTCACGGGGACTGGGCAGTCCACACCAACACCCATTGAGTTGGAGCTCTCTGTGAGAGCCTCTTCAAGGTGGGGTGGACGGACCTCAGGGGGAGGGGGTAACCTACCTTGTGCCGCGACACTGGCGGCAAAAGTCAACGTACCACCTGCTCGCGCGCTTACCTGTCAGCCTCCCCCCGACCCCTCCTCCACCCACCCCTTCAGTGGCACCGCTCGCTCTATTGCTACGAGCGACGTAACCGTGTACCGAATCGCACCGAATTACTGCGCTCCTACACGTAAACGATCACACTGTGCATGCTATTCATGTGCCAGTATGTTGTTTGTGAGCGTTGATGAAAACCTCGCTGCCACCGTGGCGATTCTACATTCATCGTCGCAAGGGCAGAAATAAAGAAGCCCACCAACAGCGACTCTGCGCACCGACAATTCATCGATTGTGGGAGGTCCTTATACGTAATGCTTTGGGCAAAATCTGCACTCATCTTCACCCAATCCAACGTCGTTATATCAAACGATTTTTTTTTACCCCACCTCCATCCCCGCAGCCACTTTTGGGAGATGGACTACCTGACGGGTACTACGGAAGCACCGTCATTGATTCGCAGTACAAGGCACACACACGGGTCAAACGGCCCCCGGCAGGAGACGGCCACCGGGTACCGATGCTGGCTGCAAACTTACCAGCTCGTCGAGGGCGTAGCGCAGTCCGCCATGTTCAAAGAGCAGGAAGAACCTCCGCTGCCATTTCTAGAAGGGAGGGAGACGAGGCACGTGAGCCACTGTGTCTTAACGGCAGTCCACACAACACACATTTCACGTTTACACAGAAGAGCAATCTGGCTCTCAACAGTCGGTTAAAAAGAGGACAGACACAGTCAGCGATTAACACGGCTGGGTACAAAAGCTGCCAAAGAAGTTTAACATGCATGGACACAAAAACCACGACGTTTTCGGCCACAACACAAGTGGCCTTCTTCAGGTGAAGGAACAGAACTGTCGGGACGACAGCACTTCAATTGGCATTTAAGTGCTGTCGTCCCGACAGTTCTGTTCCATTGGCATTTAAGTGCTGTCGTCCCGACAGTTCTGTTCCTTCACCTGAAGAAGGCCACTTGTGTTGTGGCCGAAACGTCGTGATTTTTGTTGTTTTTATTTTTTACCTAAGTGACTTTACCGAATAGAACCAAAGAGTATGGATCCTTGCAGTCACGAAAGCTTCAAATCTAGAAATGCGTGGACACGTACACACAGGGGCTGCCCTCATTGACCGGGCGAGTGGGGGGCTTCCGCGGCCTTGCGTCATCACCGCTGCGCCAGGGACCGCGCGGCCCTTGTTGGTTTACAAGAGGAACGCTGATGGCTCTTGGTGACGAGAAGCACGAGAGGTTAACCCTCTTGCTGCAGAGCGTGCGCTTGTATTTTTTATTTTTTTTATTTATGGCTGTACGCTCCGTTAAAAGCAAAGTTGTTTCTTATTAAACACGTGACATTTGACGGCGCACGGTTGTGGCGCTGTGCACGCGGGGGGGCTCTTTTTGCCACAAAAGCGACGCCCTTGGTGGAAGTTTTCACGAGAAAGCGAGAGAGAGAGAGCAGATTGAGGAGACAGGGTCTAGTTGGGACAATGCAGAGAACGAACATCATCTGAAATGGAGATATCGTCATGGGGCAGGATTGCCGCGGCAGAGCGATCCTGCTGTGTATTGATTAATATAAGGCTCAAAAATCGTATCGTCCAGATTGCAAAAGATGTTTACAACGTGAGCACGGTTGGCTAAGTACGGTGCGAAAGAAGTTCAACACACATCCATACTTAACGCGTCATATTTTTCACAATTTATTTCCTGACAAAATAATTATCAAATGACTAAAGCACAACATATTAAAGTTCTACACAAATAGCGATTAGCTTTTAAATTAGCGCTTTGCTAAATCAGTCATTGATGGCGCCGTGGTTATATTACACCGTAATATTCATGGTTCTTATAATCATGTCATTTTTTGCGTGACGTGGAAGCATGTGCGTTATAAGCATTGCAGAATGTAACGATGAGAAGACTTATGGCGGGCTTATGCTGAGCAAACTGCAGCCGGAGAGCGTTGAAGTAATGCTATACTTCTACTTAGAGCACGGCAAAAACAATACAATAAACGCATGCTACTCTGGTGCTGCGGGAACATGCTAATGCAATGATTCAGAAGATTCCTGTTGACGGTGGCATCGACGTCAACAAATCTAATGCTCCTACTAGGAGCACAACATTGCACGAAAACAATTGAATAGTGACACACAGTGACAAAGATACGGGAAACTCGATGTTTGTATGTACGTACGTTGAACTTCTCTTTCGCAACCCCTACGTAGCCAACCGCGCTAATCGGAGGTGCGGGGAAATCATAAAAATAATATCCATATGAAATTATAAAAACAAGATCACATGTTGCTAAATTAAATCACGGCCACCCAATCAGAGGGGGAAGGCTTGCTGCAGGAATCCCTGGAAGGATATTGGGAGAAAACACCATGAGGTGGGTATCCTTCATCTTCTGTACAGCACTACTGTATAACTTGGTTGTTAAAATTGTAGAGAAAATAGCAAAGCTTTGGCAAGAGGGGCGCCGTGGTGGTGAGATGTTAACTGCCTTCCCTGGTACACAAGAGGTTGTGGGTTCAATCCCGACCTTGACGTCTGTATATATGGAGTTTCCGTGTTCTCCCCGTGGTCGCGTATATTTTTCTCCGGGTGCTCCGATTTTTCCCTCCACATTCAGAAACACACCTTTTAGAGTATTTGCCTGCTGTAAATTGCCACGTGATGATAAGCCCACTTTCATTGGGCTATCATTTGTGGCCAGGTCGCTTCTGAAAAAGAGCTACATAGCTCAGTGGGCCTTACCTGGTAAAATAAAAAAATGGTTTAGTTTTAAAATAAATAGTTTACAAGCCTAACCCCCCAACCCCCTTAGGCTGGGAACCCGTGAAACAATTGCAATTCTGGCGATGACGGGACTATGGATGGTTGTCGCAGTTATGCCCTCCCGAGATTCAAAACTGCATCGTTCGCGAGTCGCAACCTCGCTGGTGTCGCAACGCACGTTTCATCGGGCCATTACGAGCCTCATACGCCATATTGGGACCCCACGTCACTGTGCAGGATGTTTCGGTTTAAGGCCAGGGTGCCAAGAAACTGAACCCCTAGCTTGGTATTGTTGGCAGTCAAACTCAATCCGTTAAAATGACTCTACAAAGAAATAAAAGCAGATATCAAAATCTGTTGTGGTTTGAAGTAGGATCCGCACTTAAACCACAACAATCCAGCCAATGTCACAAGAAAAAACTACATTTGAATTATAAGAATACAAATACATTTTTCCTATAATATTTTAACCCACAGGCAAAGAAAGCAATGTCCAACAAGAGAGGCCTGTCAAACTGAGCAAAATCCATGCGATTGTCTTATCCTTCATAAAGTATTTAAATGTCACCAATTTAGATCAACTAAACTTGATATACGCAGCCAGCGGGGCTGCATACGTGTGTACAACGTTCATAAAGACAATGTACAGTCATGCTTGGAAACGGTGGTTTATATTTTTTTTGCACAAACATGTAGACAGACGCACGATGCGTCTGTCAAGTCTTAGCGGCGAGAAATCAACCACCGTTTCCACTGTGTAAATTGCACAGGGCTCGCGAAATCTCACTCGCAAGTTATTTTCATGCAGGGTAAGTCACAGGAACGACTGTGACTCGCGTTTAACGATTGCCAGCGTATCCAATTTTAACAATGCTTGTTTTGTTGATATTCAAAGCACTTTGCCGGGGAGAGTGAAAAGTAAAGTTGTTCGTCGAGTTTTCCATATTGGGGGGAAGCAAAATGTATTGACTTGATTGTCATTGCAGATTGTGCTGTAATTTTATGAACATTATGCACTCTCTCCCGCAGCACGTAACCATCGCCAAGACCTATAATCCCGGCTCTCTATTGCAACGGCGACACGTTCAAAAACCCATTCTACTTAAAACATACGTGGCATCTGAACAGCTGTGCAACAAACTACCGTCAAATGGTATGCCTGTAATTCATTAGTGTTGCTTTATGTACGAAGAAGTATAATAGCTCTCCCCTGGGAACTGCACCGTCGCTCTTGCGTTTAGCACTGACTGCACGGGTTTAGGCGCACGATAGAGCAGCAAATCATCAATTCGAATCAATTCTCATTCTCGCGACAAGGCCATCAAATTACGCATGTAAGAATCGATTCGTGTATGTTGTTTCCGCAGAGTTTGGACAATTAGTCAACGAATAGCACCAACGCTGATAATCGACTACTTTTATAAATGGTCAATTCCTCGGGCCTCCTTTAAAAACACCGGCCGCCCCCAGATCCTGCCTCCCGAAGGCCGGAAACCCCCACCCCTCCACCACCCGGCAGGCCACGCCCAGCCTGATGTGGACATGAAGGCCGGAAACCCCAACCCCCTGCCCCCTGCAGGCCACGCTCAGCCTGACGTGAGTTGTCGACAACAGTGGCATCACCAAGCCCCGCCCATTACCTCCAATCCAGCGACACACTTGGAAAGGCAGGTGAGACTTCCCCCCCCCACCCCAACTATCTTTGTGTTACGCGATTAGTTGATTAATCGAACGTATACTCGGGAGAATAACCAATTTATTTAATGATCGGTATAGACTAATTCTAGTCATATGTAATCAAGTCATGCGAGTCCTGCTCTAATCATGACCACTGGCCACCAAAAAAAAAACATGAACATGAATCGATTTGGAATGTGCGGGTCGAATCATTACGTGCGTACAAAGGTTATATTTTAGATTTGGTAATCGGAGCCTGCTGTCACCTTGAGATGATGTTTCTCCCACATTGCGTTCACTCGCACCATTTCTGCAGAGTGTTGAGGGAGCAGCGATGAAAGCTACGTCAAGAAATCTTGCACGGGACCTACTCGGTTCACGTCGCGTTCAAAGTGTTTAAACAATTACGTGTATTCGACACGCACTGCAAAGAATGTAACCCCCTCCCCCCCCCCCGTTCATGAATTTAACACGAGATTATGTAAGAAACAGATTTTATTGACCAAATAAATGTGCACGTGTTATGTGGGCGGCACTGGCCACAGTAAGAGGAACTTAAACGAGCCTCGATGTTTGACTGGGTACACAATAACCACAGAGCACAATCAGAAAAAAAAATTACACGAAGCAAGGAAAGTGGTAAACACTGCTCGTAAAGAGGACGCTGTCAAGCAACCCCCCTCTGTTATTGATAATGAAGTGCGTGGCGTACTGTAAATGTGTTTTCCCGAGTTATTAGGCTTGTCTGAAGAGGAAAGCAATCTCTATTAAAATGTAAGAGTGTGGGGGGGGTGTAACAAAAACACAAAAGATTACAGCCACTTATGACTCGTTCGCAAAGAGGGCCTCTCGCATGTTGACAAAACAGCGGTGAGGTTTGGGCTCGTGGCACTTTAAAAATCAGCAAGCAAGCTAGCTTCAGTCACCGAGGGAGGTCACTCTCTTTTTTAGTTAGCCCAGCTTAAATAATTACTGATGATGGCAGCATGCAATGGTGTGGTACTAGCCAGGCTAGCCTGGTGGTCACGAAATCGCAACTGAGAGCACGCAAAGTCTCCTCGGTCACAAATCTGGAATTAAAGCCAGAATTGTCCAAAGTCGCGTGCCACGCAGCGTGCAGTGTAGGAAATGAGCGAGGACTTGGCAGCTTGCAACAGTCATTTAAATTGAAAATTACCACATCTGAAAGTGGACCATTTGATTACCAGACTTGCTTCTCATTGACAAAATAATACACATTTTTTAAATGCCAAGCTTTACAATATAGGTACGCACAATCTATGTATTCTATTCATGAATATTTGTGCCAAGATTTGTTTAAATCTGAGTTCAATCACTTGGCCGCTGATGCGATATCTCAATTACGCAGGCACACAAATATTCAACGTTAATGGGCCGATTCCTCTATTTCAGGCTAAGAAACGTTTAAAACACTTGCCTCCTTAAAGGTAAAGAAACCAGGTGGTTGCCGAAATCTCAGCGCAATCAACAACCCATGGGCAAAAGGCCAGCAAGAGCAGAATACTTAATCGTCATTGTTTAAGTAAAACAAAACTTACACATCATATTTTCTCATCAAGATCTATAAGCAGAAAATGTATATGGTGGATTTGGCCCAAAATATCGGCATAATGGCAGGTGCCAACAATTGGGTTATTATTTCTTGCTTGGGAGAGCACAATACCTCTAAAAATAGCCACCAACTTATTGCTGGTCACAAACAGCTATAAAATAATGAATTGACAATGTCATTAATTGTATTCTATACCTTGATATACGACCACGCTTTAGACAATGGTGTAAGGTGCGTTTCAGAATTTCAGGTTCAACGAAACGCCTCGTATAACGAAATTAAATCGATGAATCAATTGAAAACAAACGCTCCTCGGTTCTGTAAATCAACACGTCCCCGTTCGACGAACTAAACGCTCGCTAATGGGACACTAAAAATGCCTTTTGTTGCCTGCACAGGTTAACGGCATCTGTGCAGCATCACAACATACGTCAGGGGGGGGGGGGGGCACGGGTGGGTGGTGAGGGGGGCGCTTCTTTCCCACAGCCTGCCCTTAACTCTATAAACAGACCGAATTCCCTGGGCGGCATGGCATACCAGAGCCGTGTCAGCTCGGAGAGATCCCCAGCTCCAGACATGTACTCTAACGCTCACTCATGCCTGCCTTTAATCCCTTGCCGACAGCTCGCGAGCCACGGCTTTCTATATTAATAAAATTAAAGCCTGCCCCGTGCGCGATTCCTGACGTCAGGAAGTTGGCTCCGAAGCAAAAGGAATTTTACCCCAACGTGACCATTCTCAGATGTTTTCAAGGGGGGTGACACGTCACTGGCGATGTACGTCTAAATGCGGATCTCTCATGCTTACATAAATAAACAGCACTTAGTCTTCATTTGCAAAGAAATGCAACAACCAATTCCCCAAAGAGGTCATTAATTTCCACGTGTATAAAGTATGCCATGTAAGGAAGAGTGTGTGTATACAGTATATAGTGAGAAAGGAGTTGTACAGAGTGAGGAGTTTGGGAGGATTAGACGTAATGAGATAACTGATGGGTTGCTTTCAGTTTGTTCACCATGACGTAAACAGACGTATAATTGGCCTGCTTCCATTCTGCTCTGCCATTACAGCAACATAATAAACCAAACGACACGAAGAGCAACAGTTTATCAACTGGCCACGAGTTAATCAGTTACAAGGGGTAAAATTGGATCCCCTATCAGTCCCTAACCTTTATATATTCCACTTCGATGTCGCAGCAAATGCGAGCCAAAGAACATTTTACATCCAGAAGCGGAAAAGGGGGGACAGGGAGAGTGCCCCCTATCACGGCAGATGGAGCGCAGTTGACTTACTCGGGATCGCTGCATGGGGTTCTCGAAATCCGTGCCCTCGGGGGCGAGACACAGCCAACCTCCATACACCGGCTTCGCCTGTCAAAACACACACGCCGCCGCACAGAATGGCACGTCACTCCCCCTGTTTCGCTACTCCGGTCCGCGTGTGACGTTCTCGCCACGATACTATACCGTCAGAGGGCACTCCGATGATGCAGAGGCTTGCTCGCTAACATCGGGACCCTATTGCTCACCACCGGGGGACAAAAGTTTCGAAACAAATACGGACACGGAGTAACTGATATTGTGGTACCACGTCAAAAAATGCCATTTTATTAAAGTTACTGCGTAGGTTATCGCAGTTGAGCTGCTGTGGAGTTCTCTCCAATGCGTTTCCAGGTTGCACCGCATGTGGTTCGGCACAATGTCCAACGTTTCGCACCGTATGCTGGGGACGAAGCTCCCAGAACACGGAGGAATAAATATTGAAACCAACCACAAAAGAGGTCTGCCACCTCCTTATTTAGTCGTTTAAACAAATTCTTGATGCCCCACTCTTAACGGGAACTGTGGCAATGCTTATGGAATTAAAACCTCATGGAAGTTTAATCAGACACCACCAAGTCTATGGAAAGCTGGTTAGCATTATACAGGGCACACTCGTGTCAATACATTGCTATACATTGCAAGACAAAAAATACAGAGGTGAAATAATTTGAGGGATGTTTCCAAAGATTTGCGTGTACATTTTAACAGGATATCTGAATATATTTACTCTTCCATCCACTATAAACATTTATCAATCCATCATATTTAATTTTAAACGACCTGTTACATGAACTGTGCCTTCATAGCCACATCCAGAATAGCAGTGACAAATCAAGACAGCGAATCTATGTTCTAAAGAGTACTTTGGAATGAAAAAAAATCCTTTCAAATGTCAGATGTCCGTTTTAGATCATTGCAAACTCCGCCTCTGTGAGCAGTCGGCAAAGTAATGTTTTGACAGAAGCCACTCGCCATATATAGTAGGCCTGTTATCCAACCAATCTCTGCACAAGGAAATCGGGGTAAGATGCAGAAGTTGAGTCATAGTTGGTGTTGAAAAACCATTCACATGGACAACGCACAAACCGTGGAATGAGCTAATAACTAGCCCCTCCGAAGAGAAGTGGGGTCCAACCAAAGGCATTTCGAATGTCTCCCTCTTCGCCAACACGACAACAGTGGCCCGCACGCTCGTCTCTCGGTGAAGTTGCTGAAAGAGGTTAAGCGTGGACTTGGCTGGAAATTTTATGCAGTGCTCTGCATTCGGAGGGCACGTTCTTCTTCACGCTCCCGCGGCATAATGGGACAACCCGAGGCGTGAGAACGAAGCTGGAAACTGACCTTGTCTCGCGAGTCAACTGTAATTGCAAAGGTTGACGGTTTGCCCTGAGCCCCCGGGGTTTAAGACTGACAAAAAAACTGTCTAAGGAAAAGTGACAAGACCGTCCTGAGTTGCGCTGTCTATGAAAAGAAGTTCTGTGAAAAAAAAAATCATTTTAATACATTCAACGTCTACCGTAATCTAAACACGCACACATAAATATATACACGGGAGGCTTAATGCAAGAATAAGTCACCGGCGGGGTGGCAAGCAATTGGTGCGGGTGCCTCAGAATGTAGGTAATCCAGAAAGGCCGCGTTCCACTCGGCCTGGACAAATGCCGCTATCCGACTGCTATCCAACTGCTCGAACGCACGTGTGGGGCTAAAAGGCAAAGATTCCCGTATAGCCTGAACAGACTGTTGGGGCAAGTGCTGTTAGCGAGCACCAATGAAGGCCGGCACGGCACACAAGGGGGTGGGTGGCCAGCACCACGCCCGGCTACCTTTGTCTCGCCAGTGGCGGTGTTTACACACCGCACTAGATACTCATTTAAGGCTGAGTCTACCTAGGGGAGGCCCAGTACCAGTTCAAATAATCGTCACTGGTGTTGGCCATGAGCGGGAATCGAACTCGTGTCACCGGGTTCGTAGTGCAGCGTAGCGCTAACCGCTACACCACCATCTGTGTGTGTGGGGCACAACAAAGACAAAGATCACTTCTATAGCCTGTAACAGACTGCTGGGGCAAATACTGATAGCGAGGTCCTATGAAGGCCGGTACGGCACACGAAGGGGTAGGTGGTCAGTACCACGCCCGGCCGCCTTTGTCTCCCCCGTGGCGAGGTTTACACATCGCACCAGGTACTTATTTGAGGTTAAGTCGACCTGGGGAGGCCCAGGACCGGTTCAGATAATCGTTACCGGTATTGGCCGTAAGCGGGAATGGAACCCGGGTCTCCAGGTTGGTAACGCAGCACGCTAGCCACTACGCTACCACTCCCCACACACGCACACATACATACACACGCACACATACACACACATACACACGCACACATACATACATACACACGCACACACACATATATATATACACACTGACACTCTCTGGTGGAGAAACTAAACCCAGGAGCACCGTGTCGAGCACGTGAAGAAAATTCACCAATTAATATAATGCATTGAGCATTGGTTTAACTTTTGCAATGCTAATGAGAAAATGAATTTACACTCGCACATAGGACGTATATGGTTAATTGCTCGAAAGATTAAGAGTCGATCTAAGCTGCTATTCATGTTTAAAACACTGGCAGAGATAAGGTAATTACGGCAACCTGTTAAAGGTTTTTTTTGTAGTAGCTAAACAGGTACCGGTCCACTGACGATCACGATCCACCAGCAGTAGGTATAAACAGCACCTCAATTACCCAGCAGTTACAGCTCTAAATGCTTCGCGGCAATGTGAATATGTTAAAGACTGTCATTACCGGCAATCAAGAGTTGTATCCTAGTATCAGCTTTAAAGCACATTAGCAAAAAAATGGACTCTTAATGTAACTTGTCAGTTTGTGAGTAGGGGGCAAAGCTGCCAAGGCACTTACATCTTGACAGACAGCTTCATTTTTATCATAATGCCCCACAATTTCACCATATTTTACGTAGTCAAATTGATGCACGTCACATATTAAATGTATATCTTCCCTTTAAATACATAACAGCGTCGCCAATTCATTCGCAAGCATCAAAACAGAATTACGGAAATAGGCTGAGCTTATTTTTTTCTTTGTGTGTACAAAATGCTCAAGGCGCTACCAAATATCACTGCCAATGGGCACTATCTGCTGTAAAGTAAAAAGTCTCATCTAAATGCAAAATGAACCAATGCTTTCACATCCATATTAAGGTCGCCATAATTCAGTACGGTATTCAATTACTCCCACAGCCGTATCTCCCACCGCAGGTTCATGTTTGCTAATGGTCCCAAAAAAAAATAATTTGAATAGTGCCGAGTAGAAAATATTGGGGAAAAAAACGCGATTAAAATGGGAGCAGGCAAAATAAATACCGTACGTAATTACGTAAGCCAGCAAGCTGACCACGTGGGCGGCTTTCACCCAAATTGACTAGGGGGGGAAGAGTTCAGACATTAACGAGAAAAATAAAAAGGCATTATTCAGTAAATGATGCATAAAAACATGTTTTTGGTGGCCATGTCCTAGCACTGCGAGACCACTACACTCGCCTGTATTGACAGAACCCACACTACGGTTATCTGCTTATATCGCCGGCAGCATATCAGCTGGATGGTGACATACGAGCCAAAAACAATGGCATTTTTTTCTCAGCATGATGTCAATTTCCCTTTACTATCGGGGCCCTAATATATTTGAGCCTAATATGCAAATCTACAACAGCTAGAGACGATGGATGTACAGTCCATCTTACTCACCCAATGCATTGTGTTTTTTTTTTTACATCGTATTAGTTCAGCAGTCCTTTCCTTACGGAGTAATTCTCTCATTATATATATTTTTTAAAAATCCCTTTGTTTTGGCGTCTAGCGATGCACTGCATGGGAATCGTGGTATAAATAATAGAACGATGATGACAAAAACACTCTCCAAATAACACGAGAATCCCAGAGTCAACCTTGAGGATCTATATCACGTTATGTAATGTCATGTACGTTTCAATCTGACCTACATGGATTGCTTAAGCCTCGTCTGTTGCCGCCCGGCAAAAAAAAAAAATGATCAAAACATTTTCCCTCTCCGCAAACGTGTTCAGATGTGAGAGCACAGCAGTGAACCAAGACACACCAAAATGTCTCCCCCTTTAGCCCTGCAGTTAAGACAGCGCCCTCTATTACAACGCTCAGAAGGAGGCTAAATGATTGGGAAGCAAACGGGACTGTGATGTTCGTCTGAATCCGGGGCTCTATGTACATCTATCCATCTACTCTCAGTCGTGGATCCTTTTCTGGAGGCTTTTCTTCAACACGATGTGGTGCAACTTCTCTCTGCGCCGCTTTCTCTGATCACGGCATAATTCCAATCATCACAACCGCAACATAACCAGGGGAAAAAGCGACAATGAAGACAATTCCCAGCCAAGAGTTGTTCTTAATCACATGTGCAGATTCCACTGACGGAATGGCGTCACTCCTGAAAATGCTGCCAAGTAGGCACAATGTAAGCAATTTTCTTGAAAATGGAAAAACAAAAACAGACAAATCATCCTAAATGTCAAGAGATGGTAAAAATCATTCATTGCATTCGCTATCAAATACCTCCCTGGCATCTAAAAATTCCTCCCTGGCATCCGCCACTCATGAGGAGTGCCAGCAAACTCCACCGGCTCTCAACACCACTCAGCAAGGGGCTCTTTCAAAGCATTTTGTGCCATCTCCCTGGCTAATGATGGAGTGGCAGCCCAGCAATGGAACGCGTGGGAGAGTACATCCACAGAGGCGATGTAGGGATGAAACCAGTTTGTGTGCAGATGCTAGGTTGATTATTACACTGCAGGACCCTGAGAAACGGCGAAGGCTAGGGGGGAGGTCTTCATCCAGCAATGGATTGAGCACGGGCTGATGCTGATGATGCTGATGTGCCACCTTACACTCAGCATTCGCTGCTCTGTTAAAGCTGTCGTGTCTCACTATCACACACACGTGCTTGTTGTCGGGCTCCTAATGTATCTCCTTGCGCTCTATTAGGAAGGCCCGAGGGTAAATTGTTTACCAATTTCCTTTGTTTAAATCGTTAGCCAGGGTGTGTGCGCCACTGGCTAACCCTGTAAATATGTATTTGATGTATACAACAGTAATAATTTGCAGTCCTTTGTGTATCCACTGCTGGCTTAAGTCCTCCCCACACTGCATGCGTCATGGGGGTTGTTTCACCATACTTCACCACGCTGGCCAGTGGGGGGTTGGTAAAGCAGGGAGGGGTGGAAGGAGGACCGGTTCAGATATTGCTCTTCACTGATGTTAGCCGTGATAAAGGAGTGTTAAAATATCTACCAAGAGAATACATTTGACGAGTTGGCTCTGGCTTTCCCATGGTGAAATGCAACCTTTGAGAAGAGTCTCTCTCACACGCACACAGTGGTAGCGCTTGGCAATAGCAAACAAAGCAAACACTTAAGAGCCCCAAACAGCTCAAGAGACCCCCGGATACATAAAAAAAAATTGGCCAAAACAAATATCAGCTGAAATGCAAACTCTAATTGACGTAGGTATTTACACATGAAAAACGATTATCCATCTCTCTCATCCCTATCTTGTCCATCGTTTCCCATCTTACTCCACCTTTGTCTCTTTAATTTCACTGCATCTCTGTCTCACCATGTATTTCTGTTTCATCATCATCCGACAGCTATCTTTTGTCGACATTTCTCTTATCTCACAACATTTCTGTCTCTTATCTATATCGCTTCTGTAACCTGACCTGAAGTTTAAACATCGATTTAGTAATTTCTGTTTGGGGCCCCCAATGTGCCAGCACCAAACAAAAGACAAAGATCCCCCGTATAGCCTTAACAGACTGTTGGGAAAAGTGCTGTTAGCGAGCACCTATGAAGGCCAAAACGGCACACGAAGGGGTGGGTGGCCAGCACCACGCCCAGCCGCCTTTGTCTCCTTAGTGACGATGTTTTTATACACCGCACCAGGTACTCATTTGACGCCGAGTCTACCTAGGGGAGGCCTAGGACCTGTTCAGATAAAAATCGTTACTGGTGTTGGTCGTGAGCGGGAATCGAACTCGGGTCGCCAGGTTCGTAACGCAGCGTAGCGCTAACCGCAACACGACCACTCCCCGCAACCACCGCTGCGCCCACACACACAAACACGCGCGTCTTCAAGACACTGACACCGCATTTAACTCTTGAAGACACGCGTGTTGTAAACATGTAGTATGCACGTGTTTGCATCGTTCATTCCATAAAATAATTGACTGGAAATAATTACAGAAATACATTAAACAAAGGCACAATTGAAATCCTACACTGTCGATGTGGCCATATGTCGTGGCATTTAATCTCGGGGTCGCGCACGATAAGCTCTGAGCTAGCATAACATTTTAAACGGACAGCTCAATACTCATCAGCACCACCACCACGGACACCCGTGTAAACCGGCTACACATCGCTGATGAGCGCTACGAACAAGAAAGCAAATAAAATATAAGCGCCGATGTTTATCTCGTGATGCCAGCATCATGTGTAAACACGCAGTGTTGTTTGGCCAGTTCTACCTTCAAAACAAAGCTTGTGACCTCTACGGTGTTAAAGTTATCTTAAAGTGTTGCGGGTGGCGCGGTGGTACAGTGGTCAGTGCTCTGCTTGGGGAACCAGGCGATTCGAGTTCGATTCCTGACCACGGCTAACATAAACTAAACGATTTGATATTTTACCAGGTAAGGCGCACTGAGCTACATAGCTATTTTTCACCAACAACCTGGTAACAATTGATAGCTCAACAAAGTGGCTTATCATGTGGAAATTGATAGCAGCAGCCAAAGACTCTAAACGCGTGTTGTTTTTAAATGTGGAGGAGGAAAAACCGGAGGCCCCCCCAAGGAAAAATCCACGCGACCAAGGGGAGAGAGACACGCAGACTCCAAATATACAGCAGGCGTCATTGTGGGGATCGAATCCACGACTTCCTACATACCAGGCGAAGGAGTCAGCATCTAGCAAGTGATGTCTGAACAGGGCCCTGTGTCTCCTATTCAACTAACCAGCATGGTGAGGTATGGTCAAACCCCACAGTGACTGACATGGCGTGGAGGAAAGGCCTTCATCCCATTAGCGGATTGAACATGTGAGAATCTATTTATTAATATTAACGTTTTTTAGCGTTGAATGGACGTGAATGTTGATCGGTGTTCGTTTTGTTGATCGCTGCTCATATTCTGCTGCTGTCAACGATTACGCAAGCGCCGTCACCATTAACAACAGCCTTGGACATCATCGCGAGACGTCGTCAGCTTTTTGGGCACAACCACAGTCGTAGGAAAGTGAAGCAAAGCTGTCATTAGCAAGCAATCTTGTCCTCCGTGTGTCTTGTGCGCGTCTACGATTGTAAATTAAACTATCCACGAGCTATTACACAACTTTAAGTATGGCAGATGTGTTCTTATTAAGTGTAAGTCGCCGTTATCTAGAACAATACACGCTGCAAAACTGAAGCGCCTAAATTTGACTTAACGTCAAATCATCACTATTATAGTCGCAATGTCACCTCTAATTACGATCACAATTATGTAAAAAAAACATTTTTTATAAGGATAATTACAATGACGGTGGCCATTCATCATTACAATGATAAAGATCAACACAATTACGATGACGACGTTGTTACAATCATAAGCACCACCATAATGATAACTTATTACAATGATCATCAACAGTATCATGACCATTGTAACGATTATGATTATTGCAATCATAACAATCGTGACGGTGATCATCACGAATGATGATGCAGATGACTGCGATCGCCGGGCGCTTTACAAACGCGGCCAATTTCTCTCCCTACACTACAGAATAAACAAATCGACGTTACAGCTCACCGGCCTTCGCCGTTGCGGCCTAGCGAGGCCGTACCCACAAAGATGCGTCCCTCGGGGCAGGACAACTAGCCGAGGCCGTTCTCTCCCGGGGCAACATCCCCGGGGCGCCGGGAATCGCCCATGACAGAACCCGAAACATCCACAACAGCATCAACAGAACCCATCAAGCTATGAGGCAGCAAGCCTCAAGTTCCCCGTCGCATCTCTCACCAGCAAGCGGCAGCGACACCCTCACACTCACCTGATTCAAATCCTCATCGCAGAGCAAATGCGATTCCCGTGGCTTGAAGCAGTTCTGGCATTTGGTTTTGTTGAAGATGTTCGCCTGGAACTTGCGGCACGGGTTATCCTTGGCGGCCAGCATGGTGCTGCGTATTGTATTTGTTCTTATTGCGTTGTTAAGTTATAGTATTTGCACATACATACATACAGACGCATACATACACACGTACATACACGCACGCACTCTCTCACACACACACACACACCCGACCGGACCGATTGTAGCTCAAATGACTGCCCGGTCGAGCGAGCTACTGCCTGGCCGGTGGACTGACTGATGAGTGAGCTAGTGACCGGAAGAGTGACTGGAAGAGTGACTTAGAAGAAGTGAGCGAGTGAATGAGCGGAGCGACTGAGCGCAACGACCACCTGGGACGAGCGCCTCCGAGTGACTGAGCGCTGCTGCCTGCGAGCCGCTTCACTCCCTCCGCGCGCACGACTACAACTGCTCCCTCACTCGGCGACGGAGACAACAATAAAATAGATCCCATTGTGCACCTTATTGTATTGCTTACAATACCGATTTGATTTATGCTATCTCCATACACATCTACGCAGTCTCACCACACGTTACCACCGGCCTTTTTTTTGTGACACAGACCGATGGCAAAGCATTATGTAATTTACACATTTTAGGCTGAGTGGAAAAAATAAATCAGAAAATGTATCTATACTGGAGGAATTCGATGAGCTATAAAGCTCTTTTCCACAGACGTCCAGTACAGTATCGAAAAGGAGCGCTGAGGCAGGTTTCTGATTGTGGAACAGGCTATGTGTGGGGAGACCTGGTCAGGGATCGAACCCAAACTAATGAAACTTGGAAGTCCGCTGTTTGTCCTCTGCCGCTCTCCAGCCTTTTGATTAAGCTTCAGCCAAAAGTCCCCTCTGACCTTTCCCTGAACCCAGATGAAGGATGCAACTCTCCTCCACTCTGTATTATTAATAACGTCAAATATTCATTCCTGCACGCGGCCTGTTCATGCAGTTTTGCACGCAGGAATTACAACTCCATGTACGGTATTTCCAAGACATTACGATCCAATAAAAGAATCATTTGAGTTTACACATTTTGACCAGTTCAGATATCACAAGGTTAAATGATAATGACCTATCTTAATTATATATAGGCCTAAAAGAGACCGTGCATCCTTATCTTGAGCCCCGCGTTGCACCCTCCTGTATTAAGTTATGCAGTTATTTCCTGCAGTTGATTTCCTTTGGTTGTTATAAACGCACAACGGATGTCATCAGAAAATCTGAGACTTTGAATATTTTCTCCACTCATCTTTGGGCCTCCCGTTTCTCAAATTAAATGTCCAGGTCACGGCTTTCGGTGTCGTTGCGAAGCACTTTGGCGAAAGCATCTCATCTTGTCTATCCCCCCTTAAAACGCGCGGTTAGTTAGTTACTTTCTTTCATCCAGCAGCTTGATAAAGGGATGTAACTTAATGTCGATTGTAGGCGTCCACCAGGGAGACGGAATAATTAGATCAGCTCGTGCGTAGGTGCAAGGATGATTCCCAGGAATCATGTAACATTGCACCAACGTTTGGGCAATGTTCCATGTTTACCGGGCCAACATTCAACGTTCGACCAAGGTTAGGCCAACGTTCTATATTCACTGGGCCAACACACGTTGCCCCAACGTTCCATGTTGACAGGGCAGGTGACATCGCAGCATTGTGAGAGATGGAGGCGGTTTGGGAAGGCGTTCATCCAGCAGTGGAGTGATCGTGGTTGATTGCGCGTGACATCAAAACTGCATTCGTATTGTGCAGTATGTTGAAGGAATCTTGAGTACCCGAAGAAAACCAATGCAGAGGGGAACATCCCTCATCCTCAAGACACACACATTCCATTCACACACGTAAAACATGCATCTTTTTAATATCGTATGGTAATACTGTTAAATATGTTTTTCCTTATCCTGTAGTTTGTGCATAGATTAATACAAAAACAAAGAGTACAAAAAAATGTAAGCTATTAATGAGTTAAACGAAGCACAAGTTCGTGATTTACAGCTTTGTATATAAATAGTAAAAATTATATTAGCTCGTTTGGGCATTTAATTGTATCTCTGCACTAGAGACTAGAATTGTTTTTTTTTAAGTCGTGAGATAGAGATTTCATAAGCGTGTTGTTGTGCAGCGCCTATTGGTTTACAACTTGGACACATTTCCGTCTTTTTATGGCTTGCTCTCATCACTTAGAGAAATTCCACAATTTATTTAGACAACGCGTGGGATTTCGATGATTGCAGAGGCGTGGCGTGGTTGACACGGGCCCTCCCGGTGTTGGCAGGGAATGTAAAATGTCCCTCTTCTTCATAACGGTGACCACCAGGATGAGCCCATCAGCTCAATACACGCGAGATAACCCGGTTTAATCACAATGTAATCCAGTGGTTCTTCAACTTCAATGCAGCCTTGAACCGCCTTTGGTTCACATGAGTTGTACTTACGTGCCCGTCCTCAATTTGCGCTTTAGATTAATAACCTTCTAAAAAATATATGTCCATGTCTCGCACCCCCAGAAGGGGCATCTCGCATCCCCAGGGTGGGCACGGTGCGTGCCACCCCAGGTGAAGAAGAAGCTGAAGGAACCACTGACTTAATGTGCGTGAATCTATGGGTCTACATGAGTCTGTGCCAGCCTATTCTTCTTCGTAAGGCTGACGTCGATGAAGGGGCCAACATCTGTAACGTTATTTACACTCCTGTGGTTGAGCCAGATTATTTTGTTGGTGGTTCAGAAGTTACAGCGCGCGGTGTTGCGGCTGTGAATCGCCTTGGCCGCGATGCCTCCTCCATCGCGTTTACGGTGTTGGTGAATCGGTGTCCGCATTGCCTCGTTTCTACGTCCACAAGGTTCTATTCTGGGCCTTGGCCACAGTCACCTCACGACTGAGTTTTTTTTGTTAAATTGTCCATTGTTATACATCATCAGAAACTATTAGCTGCCGCTGCTGCTAATGCCATGGATTGTGCGCAGTGGATGCGGGTTCGTCGATCGTGACCCCCGAGAAGCCCTGCCGGGTGAGAGCGATGCCCACGGCGATCTTCTTTGCCAGTCGGCGGCTGCTCCACGACGCGTTGGTTCTTGCGAGCGAACCTCTCTCTCTCTCTCTGTCCGTCCGTGTTACCTTTTCATTCTCCGGCAGCGGGGCTCCCGTGGTGCAATAGATGCAAGTGCGGGGGTTGGGGTGGGGTGGGGGGGGGGCTCGCTAGGGGGGCCCCCCACGATTATGCCGCTCGCCTCTTCGCTCAGCCCGGTGCCTGGACCGGCCTCGGGGCGGCAATTGTTACCGCCTGTACACTCGACGGCGACCGTCGCTACTGCTGCTGCTATTGTTTTCAAGGCATGTTGTTGTTGTTGTTCTTTTGTAATGTAGACAATATAAATTAAATTCTCGTTGCCTTTCTCTCTTTTTTGACGTGACGGGAACCGCTCAGGCAAAATCCGAGGCGAGCGAGCGCCCCCTCGTTGGCGCTTAAGGCTCCGGGCCCACGCTCCGGTCGCGGCATAAATGTTTAATCTTTTTTCCTTCTTCCAATCGACAAAAATATCTCGGATACGCGACTGTTCGATGGATAAAGTGATCGATATCGGTTTAAATTGGCTGCGGAGAGCATCATTCGATCAAACAAGGTCGACAAAGGGGGCGCCGGGCAGTAGCGCCTATATAAGAAAACCCGCGCTGTGGCGTTAACGTATAGCCCCAGTGGCCTAATGGATAAGGCACTGGCCTCCTAAGCCAGGGATTGTGGGTTCGAGTCCCATCTGGGGTGTGCAGATTTTAATTTTTATTAACGGCGCCTGTTGGTACTGCGCGCGTGAATTACACGTGGCGACGATGAGTCGAAAGTGCGCCTCGGATTATTTATTTCGTACGTGGAGAACTGCCGTAGGTTTTTTTTTTAACAGGCAGGCCGTGTACAAAACAATCTTATGATTTGCAAGCGTGCAGTGCTGCCCCCTAATGGCCGTGGTGGCCACGCTACGTTTGGGCAGTCGTGGGTTCATCAAAACGATTACCAATTTTTTTTTTTACACTCTACATAATGTATATATTACCCTCAATCAATGACACAAGCACGCCAAGAAAAAGATTATGGTCCCAAGAGGCTCAACTTGCCCCGGATTTCTTTGTGTAAATCATCTCACTTGATCTCACTAAATTTTAAAGACACAGTGGCGTCGTTGGCAAGAAGAGTAAGGACCTTTTGTATGACGGCGTCATGGTCCACAGTTGACAAATTACGGAACCCCAAAAATTACTCAGTTGGAAAACACATCGCAATTATCACCCCCCTACTGCGAAAAGTTGCCAGGAACTTCCTTGAAAAAGAGCCGTGAGACTCATTTTTTTATATATAAAAAAGTTTTCATATTCTTTGGTTCTTTCGGTAAAGTCATAAACAAGTTTAACAATAACTAAACACAACTATCTCTATATTTGTCTACACTTATTTCACACCATAGATACCTCTGCTCCAGATCTCTTCAGTTATCCTTTTTCTTAAATATATAAATTGAAAAAGGTCCTCGGGAAAATATTCTGTGGGCCTCCAATGGGCTGCTTAACGCCTCTACCCTTCAGAAAGTTAACACGCGACGTAAGGCACTTTGTAATATCATCAACCAGTCAATCCACTGCTGGATGAAGGCCTCCCCCAACTCGCAACCATCCCTCACGATCCTGCGATCCAACCATCCATCGAGTTGATATCAACCCTATACAATAATTTCATAAATATCATAAGCATGGACCCATCATTGGCATTTCATATTTGCGACATACATATTTTGTGTGTACGCTTGAACTCGTATCTATATCTTGTTCTGCTGTGCTTGGGGAACGTTAACAATTGCGATCTATTAAACGTAAATCACGACGCAGTTAGAATATTAACAAACTAACAAAAGACAACACAGCATCATTGACGTAACAGTCCCATCTATGAATGTGCGTGTATTAATATTGCATTTCAATACGTTGGGAGAAAAATTATTAGCGGGTACTAAAATGTACTGAAACTGTTGTTCCACTTTCCAATTCACACATAGATTATAAAGCATATGCAAGGTACTATAGAGTATTAAACGCCTTAAAAATAGACTGCACCTCAAAATGCAATTAGGAGCCGGCAAACACCGCAATTGAGCATTTAGCAGAAGCCCATTGAGGAAGCGAGTCTCAGACAGCAACCAACCAACAATCCACCGTTGGATGAACACCGCATTGGTCAAAGGAGTTGTTTGACCATACTTCACCACCTTGGCCAGTGCGGGCTGCTGACGAGACAGGGCGGGATTGCACCCAAGACCGGTTCAGATGGCACTCGACACTGATGGTAGGGAATTGAACTCAGGTGGCCGGTTCGTAGTTCGGCGAGTGCGCGAATAACGCTACCGCCCCACACCGCACGAAAAGATGAATTTAACAGTACTGTACAGTATTGGAGTGTTTTGCCGATTCTTACATGGCGTGCGGTATGTGGGAATTAACTTGTGCCACTTTGTACTTCAACAAATGTTTGCACCCAGGCTAAACTTCTCACCGAATAATTGTATTTAACAGCTCGCTGTTAAGACTGGAGTCGATGGCACGCGACTTAGTAACCGCAGCCACAGCGCGAAGTATACTGGATGTGGTTTGCCAGGTACATACATTTTTTTTTTATACCAGGTCGCAGCACTGGGAAAATGCGGCTGAAATGAATCCACGGTGGCACAAGTGTGCATCTAAAACATGCTAGGCCTTGTCGAAGGCATATGAATGGGCTTTCACCTGATTTAAGTGAAGGATTTCCTATAACATATGGAATCAACTAGTACGTTACTTCAAAATACGCAAAACTTGTTTACGTTGAGTTTTCCGCTGATTGGCGTTAACAGGATTAATACTCTACTTGTGCAACAGGGCCTAATCGAATGGTTGAAGGTGCTTGGCACCCAACACTAGAATTATTCCAAACACAACTCTAATTACTTGACGTTATACAGGCTAGGTAGTTGTTGCTTTGTCCGAATGACGACTATTGCCCTAATGGGGCCTTGCAGACGCAGCTCCACTTGTTACCCTACTTGCACACTCAAAGGTGCAGCGCTGCAGTGTTATGCTCACGCCACTGCTGGCAGAAGTGCCTCCACGAGAGGAAGCCACCCAGAGCCCGTTCATGGGATGGGAATTCTGGCTGAATCTTGTTCACTAAACCCTGTACAAATGTAACTCGGAATCACTTACACGTAGCTGGTGGCATTCATATCAGCTATAAGGCAACAATTACCCAAACTGATTGAATCGTGGGGTGATTGCACCGTCTTGGTTGGAGAACCAGAGGTTGCCACCAATCATAAATCACATAACATTAGATTAAAACAGCATATATGCTCCTGCATATCAAACTAGTCAGCTTTAATGTGGTTTAGAACATAAGAAATGGTGGTACACGAGTCGATCTCCTAAATATATATTAAAACGTGTTGTTATTTGGTCAATATTCATCCACAACACATTTCCAATCGGTTACATTATCAAATATAAAAATGTATAAGGGTGTGTTTACAACGTTCAAATTCATCTTTAAAAATGTTGGACAAAATGTATGATCACAAATAGTTTTTTCGTCTCGGATTGTTCCAAAAGTATGACGTCACAGGGAATGTTCACTTCATCATGTCCATGCTTTTGACAGTGTCAGGTGGCATCGAGTGACATCACTTTTGTTAGCACACGTGACATTACACAGATTTAGCCGAAAAAACCGAACAGAAAATTATCGTTAAAAATACATTTTATAATCCCGACACTCATCCCGAATACAATACTAGCATAGACAAAAGCTGTGGTTACAATAATTAAAACGCAGGCAAAAAGACAACCGATATTTAGCACTATCCACCCCCCGTAGAAGAAGATCGCAGGTGCGTTTATTCAAAGAGTTTATTCGGCAAAGTAACACGTTCAGAGGTTAAGATGTGCACAGCCTGTTATAAAGCACCACGTACGAATCGAGACCTGCACGCTCAGCTCACACGTCGGGTTCCCCTGTACAAACGATATTCTTCCAAAAACTGCGACGTCAGAATTTAACCTACGGCAAACTCGTACTGGAGACTAAATCACGTGGGCGAAAAAACGTCACCGTATAATCATACATATTACAAAGCGGCAAAATTTAAGTAAAAATTAACTGTTGGCGAATTTAAGTTTACGCTTCGAATTCACGGTGGATATTTTAACACATTTCGCTTCGGTTAACTCGGGGGGGGGGGGTCGGAAACTCGCGGGTCCGGAGCCACATGCAGCTCTTTAAGGAACTGCTTTATACTGGTAGGAACGAAGTTGTAAACTGAGTGTACCAGCCTGCAATAGATTAATGTGTCCGTCCGTCCGTTCGTCCGTCCCCTTTCAATACTTTAACGAAGTGAAATCTCGTGCTGTTGGGCTGTAAAAATAAAATTGCGCAAAATTCCAATGTTCCTACCAGCCCACCCTGCAGGGACCTGTTTACGTTAAGGACCACCGTCTCGTATTCACGTGCATTGCGTCTCTTGGAATAGATATTTTTTTGCACCGAACTCGAAAAGAATGGTCTTATTTTGATTCTTGACCCGAGTTAACTAATGGTCATTTGCCATCTGTATCACACATCACCCAAGTTGTAGACAATGTTTATTAATTCAATTCATCACTGCTCTGCGTTAAAAATAAGGGGTTCAGAAAGTGTTTCACTTGTCCCATAATTGCGGGGCATTTCATATTTTTGTCCAAATAAAATATCACAAAATTTACATTCAAGGAAAATATTACCTCCAAATTGAAAGGATAACATTAACTGTGTTGGTATTGCTGCCGTGTCAGGCGTTATACCTATTACAAACATTAAATACGTGCAGTGTTTAATTTTAACCTCAGTGAAACAGGTTTACATATATAATTACAATTAAATCAGATCACGGTGAAATATAGTAAAATGCATATTCAAACAAATGTCCCCTTCAGATTCCCTTTAAGTGGGCTTCAACTGCTATCATTGCATATTGCCTGTGTTGGTACCTCAGAAAAATAAGCATATTCATCATTCCCATGATCCCCTTCCTGCTAGAATTAATCAGATATTTTTCCAAATTGGAAAAAGAAACCCATTCACAAATGACAATAACAAAATCATGCACATGTTTACGGCCAGCAACACCAACTTTTTTCATTTTGTCCAGAATGGAGGCATCGTTTTATGGTGCAACAAAAGGTACTAAAATAAATTGCGCGATAACGATTGAGTGCCACTCAGCAGAAAACTAATTTACCAAGAGCACACTAAGAGCACTATTCCTTGACTTTCCAGTAATTTGCAGTGAAAATACCTATTTAATTTCAGTCACCAGACAAGGCAAAAAAAAGCGTTTGTTCGTTGCAAGTATTTATCTTATTGTTATCTTGTAGATGCATATATCACCTGTATCCTAGTTTGTCCAGCATATACTCGAAGCGTCGCTCATACTGTAAAGTTAAGCTAAAGCACATCATGATAGCAATGCCATGTTCATGTTGTAACGTCAATGCAATGCTCGACTAACTTTAGAGCGTTTGTTTTCCTCTCTCTTAGCAAAGCTTTAAATTTATTCGTGTTGGATAACCCGGCAGACAAAGCTGATATACATGTCTACGGAAACCATTCGCGGTTGGTTTGCATCTTCCTTAAACAAGCCATGTCAGGGGCTGTTACCGTATTTAATAGCAAATTAATATTTTACAGCAGGAACAAAAATAAATGGCACTTTTCCCTGCTGACACAGGGTGCTCCTGCTGTGGAGTTCAGAAATTTCTGCAGATCTGAGACGGCCCCACTGAAGCGTATCAAAAAGCACAAAGTTAAAATCCCACACAACCTTTCCTCATATAGAGATACGTTCTCCAACTATACATCGGTGTACATAATTCAGGTCTGTTTATCCGATGGCCCTTAACCCGAATTAATGGAAAAACACGACATTAAGTAAACAATTCAAGATAGTTTCTGCATTTTTTCCGGCAGATGCCATCCACAAATGTACAACGAGTTGATATTTTTTATACTGTTTACCTGTACACAATAACCAGAAAACACAGGCATGGCTTAACAGAACAAGATGCACACCCATGCCTACTGGGTCTGTTCAGTCAAGGTAGTGACACAAAGGGACCAACTTTTAACATTAAATTCAAGAGCATGTTTAAGCACCCACAAATGTCATTTACTTAGTAGTGTCACCTTGACAATGCAACATTTGGCCGTTCTCCAGAGAACAAGAAAGCTTTTTGGAACATTGTTACCTTTACTGTCCACCCAACTCTGACCATCATTGTTAAAAAGGGAATATATTTAAATGAGTAATAAGAGTCTTTGCAACTTGCAGCAGATATCTTACCAACAGAGAATAGAGGGATCCTTTAATTTTGGGCTTTTCTAAAAAGCAGTGGTTCACGTGTTAATTTAAACCGACAGGCAACTTAAAAAAGTAAAACGCAGATCTTTCAGCTGAACTGCACTCCAAGTGAACTACAAGTGCCAGACCGGATTTTCCAGATTGCACATGACTGGTTGCTCGAAATGTTTTTGCCACCAAGGTTAGCAATTGTATTCAATTTCAGCTTTACATTGGCACCTCTGAAAAACGCCGGCTTGAACACACAATCAATAGATGTGGTTCAGATGTATTTATTGCCAGGGGATAAATTCACGATATACTTCAAATGGAACATCCGCAACGGAAAACACCACCTGAAAATACACCCAATGAAATTTACAATTTAAATGTGCCGCAGGTACCCATTCTTCTTGCTCAGAACAAAAATAAATCCAAACAGACCTAACAAAAATTAAACAAGAACATAGCCTAGATACACTGCTTATAGCCTGCTTCACTTTTATAAAGCTTCAAGCATAACGCTTTACAACTCAAAAGGAAGCAGTTAACCCACTACTGCTTTAAAGATGAAGACATTATCTAGAGCGCTAACCTACGTCGACCGACCGTCTTCCTTAAGGTAAACACGCCCCCTTTACTTCTGCGCGGCGCTGATGAGACAAGTCTGTAATGTGCCGGAGTCTCTTCGAGATTTGCCGGTTTTTTTGTTGTTGACAAAACTGCTTAAAGGGACCAAATAAAATGCATAGCGAATGCAGGTGAAATCGATCGCCAAGGCACAAGCTCGTCGGCTTGTTTCTTTCTCGCTTTCCAAACGGAGACGACGTTCTTCTTGCCCGGCGTGGTGCAACGTGGGCCTTTTTACGACGGGGCAAACCTCTTTGCTTGCGCACGGACTCGCTTCTCGTACTCCACCCTGTTTTGACTGGCGAAGAGTACATCAAAAAACCGCCATCAGTGCACAGAAACGTAGCACCTGATGATTACGTCGTATCGGTGAGCCTTGAAACGGCGAACGACTCGTAAGTGCGGAGGGATTAAGACAAGGAATCACATCATCAAGGTGTGGTCATCAGGTGCGGTTACCAGTAAATGGTGTATGCCTCTGCTTGGGCTGGATCCTGGATGTTGGGCTCATTGAGGAGTTCCTGGATTCCTAACAGGATCTGGCAGGAACATGCACATGTCAGATGAGAAACCTCAATAAGCACCAACAAGTCAAATGGAATGGAGTATTTTTTTTTGGACCAGTTATGAGCATTATATGGCCTCGCAACAGCCTCATGGTTGGAAGACATAAGCAGTTTCCAACACAGCATTGCATATACACAGACTGCTTTTATTCAATCCTCAAAAAACACGACTTCAACAGCTTTTTAATACGTAAAATGTAAGGTTGCAATTCTATACGGTCATTGCTTATATTAATTGGCAGTGTGCCAAACAGACTTTCTTTAGAAGTGTTTGGTTGAAGAATGGTGTGAACCTGTTGTGGTGGAAAACTTAGGCCATGGCCTGTCTAAAAAGCTGCGTCAGCTTTCCCCCCCCCCCCCCCCCCCCTCTCTGATGTGTACACATGGGCTTCACTTGCAGCCCAATTTCATCCAAGTGTTATAAAACAACTAAGCTGCGGAGAGAACGCACTACCTGCTTGATGGTGATGGCCGGCCTCCAGTCCTTGTCTTCTTCCAGGATGGAGAGGCACACGGTACCCGATGGGTACACGTTGGGGTGGAAAAGAGGCGGCTCGAATTTGCCTGCAAAGACAATAACCACACAGCGAGCAGCACAAATACACTCATCTATGTACGTAGATTGAAAACTCTTTTTCGACTGAAAACTAATTTCTTTGTAACTACTTTTTTGCGTTTGGTTTGTTGTCCTTCCCGCGGACACCTCCGATTAGCACAGCTGGCTACGTATGGTGTGAAACAAGTTCAACATACATACATGTAAGCGCCTGGGATAGAAAACAAAAACACAAGAAAAATGGGCAGTCATTATCCGAGGTTGTGATTTGTTTAACAGTTGATTCTTTTTTTTTTTAAGCTGTGATTGCATTGTAATGCCTGTAATAGCTGCATGAGTCACATCAACTAAGTGTGTACAACATGCAGGAATAAAATACTCGATTCTCACAAGCAAGATTCAACACATATCCATGAGCTCAAGAATCGATGCATCATTACAGGCCTACTTTGCTTCAACAAAGCTGAGGGCAGTGGAACATTCCTTAACGGTAGCACTTGACCATTGTAATGGCATGCATATTGAGACCTTAACGATAATCATGGGTAAGATATACGAGTGGATGTTTACACTGCATATAACATTTACCCCGTGTGGTGTACTGAATGTCCTACGACATGCCATACATCTGTTTACATAGGGGGAAATGGGGCACTAATTAAATTACTATACATATGCACCCTAAGGAGTGACCCAAGCCAAGACACTTGGCAAGGCACAATGGCAACGGTAAATAGAATTGTGACAAAAATACGTTGTGGGTGCAAAAACGTAGGATCGATAACGCTTCCACTAATGACACTCGGAATGCACTCGCCCACGCCAACCTTAAAAAATATATTCTATCGGTGCCTCAGAAGACAGGTCGGTAGTTTTTTTCTGTTGTTGTAAAACACCATACAAAATGAATGCCTTTCTTCTAAGAAAACGCAGGTTGCGGCGGTGACCATCAACCACTTACCACACATACTGCACCTAATGTGCACCCACTTACAAATCCTCTGTCAAGCAAGCTTTTTTTATTTCAATAATGCGAAATTAAACAGTTTCAACACAGGCTCTTCAACTCTATTGACCTGCTCGGTTTGTTTCTTTAAAGGAAGACAAGAGCTAAAAAGCAGCTTCGAGCACGTGAATAGATTCCCAAGCCGAGGCACCGAATCACAAAAGGCCAGTGGACAAGACATGCAACGGCGGGCGCTCACATTTGGGAGGCGAGGAAGGGTAGTCGTCTTTGAAGAGCATTCGCAGTTTGTACAGTCCGCCTTCCCAAGGGGTCTGCAGAGTGGAAACACATTAAAACAAACATTCCAAGCAGAGCTTTCACCCTCGAAATATCGGCCTGAGAAAGGACGTGGGAAACGCGCGGAGGAATCGCGATAATAAACGCTCTGCGGTGCCGAGAGGCAGGCAGGCCACGTTCTTGCAGGGATCTTGGCAAGAGCCCTCGCACCGCATGTGCAACAATTACCATGCAGAGGACGAGCAAAAATCAAATGGCCTACCCCCCCCCATTCAGGGTAGGTTCTCTGGGACATGTAGCGTTAACATGTGTTGCGCTGGCTGCGCTCGCAAAGTGCTCAATCCGAGACGATACGGTGTAAATTGTGCGCCGTTGGAAGTTAAGTGCGTCGCAACGTGTGTGTGTGTGTGTGTCTAAGTGAAAAAGGATTGTTGTGTTTTGGCGTGATTTAAAGTTCGCCTAAAAAAGCAATCAAATATTAAACACTCTGCTGCTTCAGGCTGAGGCCCAAAGTACTTTAAGGCAGCAGTGGTGACAGTTCCAGTTGATGAGCTGGGAGAAACTAACTGCAGGTGGTGTGTGGTGAATGGCTTGTCTGGCAGACTGTAGGAGGGAAAATGCACTCACAGCTTTCTTCCCAGGGATAGCACACTCCCAGTTCATGAGGTTAAGTGTCCCATCAGGGTTTTTTGTAGGAACCGCGACAAAACCCTGTCAAAAAGAAAATAAACAGACGCGATGTTCAAATTAATTGGGAAAGTACTCAATTCTTCAACCAAGTATATTACATGCTTACATTATGTGCATAGTGGAATGTAATGCATAATTGGTTTGCAATACACTCTCGATTAATGTATGGGCAAAATATAACCTCTGCACCTTTGAAAATCCCAGGTTGTTTAAACAGACTGCTATTAGTTTGGGAGTAATGATGTGATATTTTTGTTTCCGTTAAGCCACTTATCCTTAACATATGACCTCAATTACGCATGTCTGCATGTCGCATCTGCTCTGCTAACGCAAGTTAAAATTTGATTGAATAAATGAGGTGCCAGACGCTCCGGGCTACATTTGAAACGAAGCGATCATGCACATCAAATGTACCAAAATTGTAATATAACATTAACACAGGCATGTAAAACAGACAAAATGTGTCTTTATTTCAAAATGCATAATTACAAAAGTGGATTAAATATTTTTTTAATGAAATAATAAATCAGACAGCTTGTCTGAGCAAATTACAGCACTGGGAATCTTCAACAATGATGCATAAAAACCACCTGGGGTCCAACGCACAAGTAATTTAGTACTCAACTCCATTTAATCGTGGCAAACATCTTTAAATAATGTGTAGGCTCACTAATACATTTAAACTGTTAACTTTTTCCCATGCAAAAGGAAACTCCAACACATTCGACTTGTAAATTGCTTTCCATGCAAGTACTCCACCATATCAAAATTCTGATCAACCCAAAAAGTGGCTTCTGCAAATGCAAAATAAATACCATAACAGAAAAGACAAACTATTATAACTGTGATGAAAATTCGTCCTTTGAGGCTGTTAAATTTACAAATAAAAATTAGGAAAGTGTTGCACACAGCGCACCACGTTAAAATATAAAAACAAAATTACTTACGTACGGATGGTCTTTTCTCCACGCTTTACGTTCCTGGGCCAATCTGCTCAATGCTATTCCAGACATTGTTTTACGAATGTCAGAACTGTGAATGTAGAAGGGGGTTTCATTAACATGCGTTTTTTGCATACAAAAAAATCAGCATTCCTATTTCTCTAAATAACAAACCATGGATGTATGAAAAAGCTCAAGATGTTAGGGATGGGGCTGGCTCCACTCTGTGCCAGCCAGTTAAACAATCGTTGCCAGCAGCACACCCTTGATTGCATTGATAAATCAGGAGCGGTTACATGACCCACCAGTAGGATAGCACGTTCCCCACTTGTTGCAGAGGGTTTTCAGGTTGCATCTGGCAGGTTACCCTGGTTATTGCCATAGGTTGGTTTCAAATCATGCAATATGCGTGCCTGTCTACCTCACGGTGGGTGTCAAAGATCCTGGAAATGTTATTTTAAAACAATAGGTCTTCATCCGTGAATTTTTTTTTTTACTCAATTGGGATTACGCAAAGCAACATCGATCCCTCCTGGGAAACTGCTGCAGGCTGTCTGTGAAACATAGTGCCTTTGTGATAGCCTCGTATGCTATACGAATTATGGGAATCCCAAATGTACTCATTATTACGATTAAATAATAGTTTACAATGGGAGTGGACTTAATCTCTCTCGTGATCACCTGTTAATGCAAAATAAAAATGCTTCGTATGTCGGCATATGAAGGAGTAAGCTTCTGTCACACTCGGAAAATATATGGCAACATTGTAGTGTTCGGAAATCATCTATTAATACTGTCATAATAATAATTTAAGCTGTCAATCCACTGCTGGATAGAAGACTTCCCACGGTGTGTCGGTCATGGGGGTTGTTTGGCCATAATTCACCACACTGTTCAGGTATCACTTGCCATTAATATTGGCCATATCCAGGAATCAAACCCCAGGTGGCCAAGTTTGGAGTAGTGCTCTCCCTAGACATGCAGTGATGGCTTGTAAACATGGTTCAACTTTATAGTAAAAGTTCCAGGAATTTACAACAATGCAGCTGTTCAGACCTAGAACAGCACTAACAATAATACACGCATTTGATACTCAAGGCAAGTGTATCATTATAAAATGCATAAAAAAAACATCAGGGACAAACCCGAGGCGAATAATCACCACATGCCAAAAGGTTTCAACCAAGGAGTATTAGATTATAGTTGTCAACCATAAGCGACAAACATGCATTGCTATTGATTGGTCGCTAATTACCTCATGTTCTGTTAAAAATTCGGTCACAGTCCCTACGATCACTGTTACATTGCATTTATGGCTTTAGTTTGGTGATTTCGAAAACGTTTTTTGGTTTGACCATGTTTTTGCTTATTGTAGTACGGAGTTAGACTGATGGTCTTAATCTTAGTTGTCTTGTGGTTGTTGTTGTTTGACTTGCATCCCACTGGGATTTTTGCAGTGTTGGTGTACGGTGCTATTTCAGGAATATTTTGATGTTTTTTTTCCTGGATTTTGTTTGCAGTCACATAATCACTTTAAGATGTTTTCTGTTCATGTTTTTGTTTGTTGCGGTTGCACCCGATTCAAGAGCCGAATGGCTCACAGGGTTATACCAAATAAATGGAACTATAAATGGAAATGGAACTGGTACGCATCTTTTGCCACCATCTATGTTGGTGGGAAGCTCATGGTAAAAACACCAAAAAATAATAGTACTCAACGTGCACACGTGTGGAGATTGTCATGTATGTTAATGTAAACAAAAAAATACTTCGGTACAAATGCCATAAACACCAAAAAGATGTGCACACTTTGCACTTTCCAGCTAAACAAACACTGGCTTAAGCATGTAACGAAACATAACGTTAGCTGTGCATGTCAGACAGCCTGTCAAACAGCCGTCAGCTGATGTAAAGAAAGCGGTGCTTGACATTTCTAAGACACATTTAGAGGGTGGATTTACTGCAGCTGGATAATCTCTTGTAAAATTATCAGAAATCACTCATGGTAAACTTCACATGGAGGAACATTTCCGATTCGACCGCACACTTCACCTGAGCATTTAATATTGCAAGTGGCATATGCACAAAACGCAAGTGATTGTGGTAACGTGCTACCCCCCACCCCCATTTAATATCCCAACACCGAATAGTTTATCATTTGTGAGTAAACAATCCCCTCCCCTAAGTTATCTATTCATCAATAAACCACTTGAGGGTTGTATGCTGTAATTATTTTTAACACGGGTTGTACATGAACGTTTTTGTCAATTGAGTTAGTTGAATTACATCAGTTTATTTTCCTTCATCTACAAAATAAGCCCAGAACAATGTATTGATGTAAATCGATTGGTTCCAGCACTTGTGAAGGAGGCTACAGCTGCTAAGGTATTTGACACTTAAAGGAAGACAGTTTTTAAGTGGTGCACTTAAGCAGTCGTTTCTAGAGATATAATTTATAGGATTTCTTGGGAGAACGTGGGATGACTTAGTGTTGAGATGTCTCAGAAGATTACGGGATTTTGAGAGTAGAACATCTTTGCAGATGGTATTTCTTTGGAGTAGGCACCTCAGATGGGATCTCTTTGGATATGGGCTATCTTGGTGATGCAATGTCTGAGATATTTTTGGGGTTATGTAATGGGATTTATTAGTTGGGACTTCTAAGGAAGAATCAAATATTTTTTTGGTGATTTAATGTCACAAGAAAGGATGGGATTTCTTGGGATATGAAAATGCTAGGGAGATGGTATTTCTTGGGATAGGATATCTAAAGAAGCAATATGACTTCAAGTGGATGTGATCTCTGAGGAGGGGATCTGATTTCCCGGTTGAGATTTGGCTTAGAAGAAATATTTCTTAGGATGTGATGGCGATTCTCGGGGATGAGACGGTCTAAGGAATGGGATTTCTAAGAAAAAAGAGATACTTCTTCGCAGGGGGGTATATTTTCTCTGATGGGAACGGTGTATCTAGATGTTGGACTGGTGTTATAATTGATCTGGTTATATCCATTATCTCTGGGTGTTCACGGTCAACGCGAGCGGCCGTGATGGAGGGCCGAAGACAACACGTGTTGCCGGCTGTGCACAACTGAAACCATCACAACCGCCGCCGCCGCCTATTACAGCCACAACACACACACACACAACAACCCAGCTCGTGTGGCCACAACCTCAATTACGCACCGTTTAAAGCAATCGAGCCCAACACGGCAGCGGCAACCCGGTACCGCTCAGCACGTGCCAACAATCGACAGCGATCTGCAAGCTCGCACGGGGCCTAGTCAAGGCACGGGCTCGACTCGGGACCACGGCTACGGCCGCCGCTTTTAGCGCGACATGGAACTAAAACACACACACACACACGCGCGCCACGGCCCAAAACTTACTCGACACGTTACTTCCACAACACGACGACGACGACGAGGGCCACCCCTGAGACGATAACAACTTTCCAGATCCGAGCGAGCGATTGTCGCGGCGTTTCAGGCGACGCCGCCTCTTAAGGCCTCGGGAGCTTCCCCCCCCGCTCCGCGCGTCGCCAGAGGCACCGAGGCCGCGGATAGCGGCGAGGCGCCAACCGCACTCACCGGGCTCGCGACGGCAGGATAGCAGGATGAAGCGGTTACAATCGCCGTGGTGGTGGTGGCGGCGATGGCATTCGCTTTGATTAAATTATTTCGTTTAAAAAAAAGAGAGTGGTGGGGGTGGGAAAAGCGCGCGGGATCCCGCCCTGAGGAAGATGGCGGCGTCGCGAGACGGCCCGGGCCCCACCTCGCGATCCTCGACCCCTGACCTATGACCCCCACCCCCACCACCCCCACCCCCACCACCCCCACCACCACCACCCCCACCACCACCACCCCCACCACCACCACCCCCACCACCACCACCCCCACCACCACCACCACCACCCCCACCACCCCCACCACCACCCCCACCACCACCACGCCCACCACCACCACTCCCACCACCACCACCACCCCCACCACCACCACCCCCACCCTCACCACCACCCCCACCCCCACCACCACCCCCACCACCACCACCACCCCCACCACCACCACGGCCACCACCACCACCACTCCCACCACCACCACCACTCCCACCACCACCACCACCCCCACCACCACCCCCACCACCACCACCACCACCACCCCCACCACCACCACCACCCCCACCACCACCACCACCCCCACCACCACCCCCACCACCACCCCCACCACCACCCCCCCTACCCCACCACCACCCCACCACCACCCCTACCCCACCACCACCCCCATCCCTCATTTAATCGTAACTCATTCGTTATCACTCATTCATTCAATCATTCCTCTTACTCAAACCTCTGTGCTTTTATTCGCTCATAGCTTATCTCATTGACTCCCACCACCCCCCCACCCGCTCATTCAATCGTAACTCATTCCTTTTCACTCATTCAATCAATCCTCTCGCTGGAACCTCTCAAAATCTTTCATTCGCTCATCGATTCCCTCATTGACTCATCACCCCCCTCTCTCTCTCATTCCATCGCAGCTCAACTCGATCGCGTAATTACTGGCGAAACGTCGTACACGCAGATTGTAAATGTTGTGACTTGGCTCTCGAACACACAGCGGTGTTGCTGTACTAGTGACGAATTGGCCACGTTCTGTTGATGTGACAAACCTTACTAATTGGCTGTGTCGGGTGGTGGCGGGTTTAACGACACATTTAGATATTTACGCGATCTAACCCAAAAAAAAACTATTATGGATGATATTGGTCACGAAAGCCTCCTGCGTGTTAAAACTCACACAAGGGAAAGTGGACCAAAGAAGTAGTTTTCTTGCACGTCTACTGACTACGAACTTTTGATCATGTGGTTTTGTATTAGGTTTGAGAACAGGTTTTCCCCCTTTTTTCTGGCAACAAAACAGCTGTGTTGAGATGTTAAAACACCAAACTGAAACCTTTTACAAGGAATCATGTCTGTATTAACCACAATACTTGTGGTCAAAATACAAACAAAAAACATACTCTGATAATATATGCATTGTCTTTGCATACATGCAAGACAATGCATATATGCAAGACAATGGTTATATTATGTATGTTTTTTTAGGCTTGCTTCCTGCTGACGATAGCTTTATCAAATACCGATTAAAAAAAACATCGGTCACACCTCATCTGCAAAATATTTAGATAACAATGGGTGCTTGCATTATTTTCTAAACGAGCAGTGTTCATCTACTCAATATCACCTGTGTACAATATTGTATGCCATTTGATTTAAACTAACACATTGTGTTTGGGTATTGTACAAGGTGAAGGTGTAAAAGTTGATATTGGAGAAATATTTTACAGACGCTCCCCAAACAAAGAAAAACCTCATATGTACTGTAGTTAAAGCAGCAGCATTTACTTTTGAAACACATCAAAACGCTTGGCAGTAACATTTCTGCAACATCAATCTTGACATGTAACACATGAAGCATCTTCATGTAACTGGCACTTATACAACAATTCCAATCGTATCTGCGTATTAACCACAATCCCGTGGGCACGCATAATTTTGTACTTCTAATGGAAGAGTTAAATAATAAAATAAAATTTCGTGTTAAATCGTATGCATTGAGGTGACAGGAGTTCACTCAGCAAGTGGTAAAGCCATGAAAAGTGATTGTGGAGCACAGCTTAGAACCATGACTGAGTAATACACCTCAGTTATATTGTCAATGTAACTAAAACAGAGTCGTCGTTACTGCAAACACATTCAACTATATCATATGGCTATCGCCCATAGAGGACAATCTGAGCTGCTCAGATGAACTAACACATTTGCCGAATTAGTTGGCATTCAATTAACCCATTATGAAAATGTATTTTATACAAAGATACGCCACTACCCGAATACTTGTTGATTATATATTTTTTTCTTTTTAAGGCAGTATTTTTGATAAATGCCTTGGTAAACAAACATCATGCAGGTCCTCTCAGGATCTGAATGCGGGAATAGGCTCTCGACGAGTGCAGGACCGCAGGACGTGCGGTTTGAGCCGCGCATGAGTTGCTCGGTGGTTCGTGCAGATATTCCAGTCGGGTTAGTCACTCTGTGGGCGAGTGAAAGATAGAGATGATGGGGTCCTCGTGAGTGAGCACCACCAGCACACTGCGGAACTTGTCGATGAGCGTGAGTAGCTGGGAACGCCGCACGTTCTCGTGGTACATGATTTCCTCCAGATGGTGGTGTCCTCGGAAGTATGGCAGCAGCCTGCATGAGGCAAGCAGCGAGGCAAGCAGCGAGGCACACGTGTCACTCAAGACTTTTAAATTGGGAAGTAACTTAAAGCACTTTACAGGGGACACAAATAAACAATCCATGAGGATAAAATAGACACTGACAACAATGAAGGCACAATGGAATATGCAATATGCAATAACATACAAGTACAGCAAAGCAAATACAAATTAGGAATACAATTAAAAGGTTAATGGGAAACTGATATCGCAATAATGTACCTCGATATCAGTGGAGGCGGTGTTGTGGTCTAACCTTGCGAAGAGCCGCAGATCCTCGGGGTTGTGAGCGGCGGGCACGGCGTTAATGCAGCTGCGCTCGTGCTCGGGCAGGCTGGCCAACAGGTTCTCGGTGACGCGCCGGTTCACGGGTGAGTCCTCGCCGCACGCGCCCAGCTCCACGCTCGACGCTTCGAGGCTGGGACTCGTCAGGGTAAGATCATCGCTGCTCGCTGATGACAGAAAGGTATGAAAACGACTCGTATTCGTAGACAACTAAGACCGAAGTACACAGCGCAGTTACCACTGACGTCTATTTCGGAGCTGGGTCTGGTGGCGCACACCTGTAATCCAGTACTTTTGAGGCATGGGGTAACTGGACACTTATAATTATGAAACTCTCAAACTTACTGGCCGATGAAGTGACCAATAGATGGCATCACTGCAAATGGATGTGTGAACCTATCACCTCATAGGTGTGAGTTTTATCCAGGCAGCCTCGTTTTCTCCCACAAAAAAAAGTGAAACTGGCCAAAGTATCCCAATGCAGTACCCTTCTGAAAAGGTTATGATACTCAGCAATGGTTTGCTGAAAGTATGTTTAAACGGTAACGTCGCGATTAACAACAGCATCAGTAAAAATTAAACGAATACAAGGATGGAGACATTACAGATTCGATTTATCAATGTATAATTGTTTTAGTTTCAGTCCTCGTGAAGCCAAACCCATGTGAATAATAATGGCTTTAAATTTGCTGCACATTCACTTCGTGCAATTTGGACGCGGCAGGTCCTCCTTCGCTTACGTGGGGAGCCGAAGACAAGCGCGGTGGGCGCCGAGAAGGCACAGGCAATTGCACGCGCCACGCCACCCGCACACTGCAGCTCGCCGTCACCACCACCGCCGCTTCCCCCGCTGGAGCTGGCGCTCTCTTCGCCAGCAGGCACCATCAGGCACACGTACGTGTGCAGCTGCATCAGCATCCTCCGCTGCAGCATCCACATCACCGTGTGCACCAGCTGGGTCTGCCGGCAGCAATGGCAAAAGCAAGTGACTGCACGTTCTCGTATGTACCCTGGCGTGCGCTTTACCATTCTTTGTGTTTCCTATGCGTACATCACAGACCCCCTCGTGTGTCCATGCTTTCTGCCTGAAAATGTTAGTAATGTATGTTGTTGTCCCTCTTACATGGATTGTGTGTATAGCATACCTATTACATACCAATGTCTGCCTTCTATGCACCGATTTCATAGACATCCGTCCTCCCTTGCACTAAACAATCCACACAAATCGGTGTGGTCCCCTGGTGAATGACCTTAGTTCCCCTTGTATGCCTGCGTGGTGCCATGCGCTCCCAGCGATGACTGCACCTGCTGCACCGGTGTGCCAAGCGGGTTACGGTGCTCCGCAAGCGGCGTAGGCAGGGAGAACTCGGTCAGGGTGGTGGACAGCTCGCACCCAGGGAACTGTTGCGCAAACTGCTCCGAGTACGGCGAGTGTCTGCGCACACGAGTGGCACACAATTACTCTGGAGCGTGCGTGTCTGATCACCAACGAGATCATGTCTGATCACCAACGCGATCATGTCTGGTTCCAAGTCTCAAGGTGAAACACGCAGTCAGTGCCTGCTGACTGGTCAGAGTCCGGCTCGTATAAGCATGCATTGGCTTGTTGTGTTACTCAGGCCCGTGAAGCATATGCCTAGATGGCTGCCATACAGCTTAACCAAAACATGATTTGGAATGCTGCAACACATGACTTCAAACGACACACCATAATCCACAGCTGTGTATGGAAGAGCAACATATTAACACCCACAATACCACGCAATCCTCCCATCGATGTGTGCGTGTACACACATGTACGTGTTGGAGCTGGGCGACAGCATATAGACGTTGGTCTCACACAGTGGGTAGATTACGGTGGCTTTGCCCCAGTACACCAGGTGCGCCGCCAGCTGGAACACCTGACAGGCGCGGGCAAAAAAAAGACAATTTTCAGCCTTAGCAGGAGTGCTAATTACATACAAAAGGTCCCTTTTCCAACAATTTCCAAATCAGGTTGAAAGTGTTGATGCGAGAACTCTGTCTGTCCGTCTGTACACCCGTCCATCTGTCTGTAATATGGTGTCACTGTCATTGGGATGATCCAATATGAATAAAAGTCGTGTTACTATTCGGGTTTTACCCTATAGAAAACTGGCCAAATTAATCAAAGGGTTGTCCAAGTAATAATAAAACAAGGATTAACTCAATGCCTTTTTGGACAAGGCAATGACATCACATGCCATATTCGTGCCTTGCGATGACATCACTGTGGTGCCATGTCCCAATGTCACTCATAATACGTCATGTGACACCATCTAATTGTGCTGCTCGGAAAGCATTCATCATCAGCCGTGATCGAACTGGCGACCCCTGTGGATGGCATGGTAATTGTGCTAACTATTACACCACGGCAGCATCTACACAGCATGGCATAGCCTGCTCCTGTCGCGAATGCCATTTTCACCGTAGCTGACACACGTCCACCTCACCTGCAGCAATGCTAGGTCAGCATCCTGCGCCAGCTGCTGCAGCGTCTTCATGGGTGACGTCACTTTGATGAGCCGCACCAGCGACGGGGAGCTGTCGGCCGGCAACTGACTCAGCAGCGACTTCTCCTCACCCAGCAATAGCAGCGCATGGTAGGGACTGCACGTGGGGCGAAAATATACAGAAAACAGGGAATACAAATCAGGGTGGATAGGGTGCTGTGTGGAAGGTGACTGCGTGGACTGTGATGGGAGAGTGTGGATGTGGTGTTGGTGAGCAGTTCAAGAAGGTTGTTTATTTGCAGAGAGGGTTTAGTGTCGGAGTGCTATGTGATCGCTTGGATGGGCACAGGGTGAGGGGGTAGTGGAGAGAAAAGGAGACCAGGTTTGATGAGATATACTTGTTACGCAATAATTTTTTTCATGCCAAAAAGGTAAAGGTTTGACAAACATGTAGGCTATGATCAGGTGGCTGTGAACATTCTGGACTTGTAAGAGACATTCTTGGATAGACCATCGAACAAAGATGGTCACTGCATCGCACACTTTCAGATGTGCTTCTGAGGCCATCCAGAAGGCTCTTCCTTCTGAAATTAGGAGGCCACTAGAGCTATGCACTTTTCAATCTAGATTGAAAACTCAACTGCTTTTTGTGTTGAGTTTGTTGGCCTTCCTCCGCACCTCCGATTAGCACGGTTGGCTACGTACAGTGCGAAAGAAGTTCAACACACATACATACATACGAGCACCCTTGCACTAACCGTATTGACTTTAGGCTCCTTTCTATTGCCTCGGGCGAGATGTAGTTGTTGCTGATTTTGTGCACCTTGTGAGGCAGGCAGAAGCTGACTTCCAGCCAGTTGTTGATGTATAGCTGCACCAAACCTGTGGAACAGAGGCTGGAGAAGAAACACACAGCATCTCATTCTGTTCTAACACCATCCAAACGTTCATTAAAATTCAGGTGGCTGTGAACATTCTGGTTATGCAGGGTGCATCTTTAAAAGATATACCCAAGTATAGTGAAATAACGTTACTTTGGCTATAATTTAAAAGACACACCCTGTATAACAACTAAAGATTTCCCCATTTGTGAATGTATAGTAATAACGACTTAACACTATCTGCCCCAGCATTCCCGCTATTTTTCAGATTTTTTAATTCTTCTGCTCGCAAGAATGATAACGTTAAGACAATTCATACAGAGCCCCATTTGTGTTTACAATCTACAAGCCTTCAACAACTCTGATAGGGGCGTTTATTGAATACACAAAAGCACATGGTTCATATTCCACAAGGGGGCAGTCATGCAGCCTCTTGTGCACTTAAGCAATGATTCAGTCCATTCATTCTCTCTCTTGTAACAAGAGTTTTCAGAAAAATGGGATTAAAAGGCATCTGCGAAAGGAGCCTACCACACCGCATTCCTCATGCACTCTGAGTTGGTCGTGCTGCGGCAAGCAAGCATACTTGTCATAGGCCTCCTTTAGGTCCCGAGCCAGCTTGCTTTTAGGCAGGATGTGGTGGAAGGGAGAAGGCGGAGGACTGCCTGCATGGGCAAGAACACAACAATGAGCGAATTAAAAACGGTTGCACGCCTTAACACCGCGGAGCGTCATCATGAGACTCTGAAGCAACCGTATTCACGTTCTCTGACAGGCGGCAGGGCACGCAAAACTGACAGCTTGTGGCAGAGAACAGAAAGCACAGTGATGCCGCCCACTCGATTGTCCCCTTCACACCCTGTACAGGGTGTCTGACCTTTTAGCTGCCGAGACAGGGGTTTGGTATTTTCAATGTCCTCGATATGCTGACCTTATCCATTCGGAAAGTTGCTCAGGAGCATAGTTGGGTTATCCGATTATTTAAATGATGGATTACTCCAGCGATTATCAGCTCGATGACTCAACCGATTACACAGCATGAAAATAGTTACATTAAAAGCCAAACATGTGTCGGCACACGTGCCACTGCATGGGAGGCGATGGACTTGGCTTGGAGACGCCATAGGCATGATCAGCCGCGTCACCCTGGAAGTGGCTCGTCAGGGATTTCCCACGTTCTGCAGGCAGCATCGAAGGGCGGTCGCAGTTAGTTTTTATAAGACCCAAGCATTCCATCACAAAAAAAAGTTGTCGACTATATTTAAATGTAAACATTAAACTGAATGAATTGAATCGACTAATCGACCTGAACTCTACTCAGTACAGTGGGAGGGCGTAGCAGGGAGTGTGTGTGTGCGTGTGTGTGAGCAAACCACACACGGTAGGGTAGTGTTAGCACGCTTCGCTACGGACCTGGTGACCCGAATTCGATTCCCGCCCGAGTCCAACACCAGTGACAATTATCTGAACTGGTCCTGGGCTTTCTCTAGGTCGACTAAGCCTCAAAAGTGAGTACCTGGTGCGGTGTGTAAATATCGCCACTGGGGAGACAAAGGCGGTCGGGCGTGGTGCTGTTCCGGCCTTCATAGGTGCCCACTAACAGCACTTGCCCCAACAGTCTGTTAAAGCTGTAGAGGAGGATCTTTGTCTTTGTGAGCGAACCGCACCGTCGTGCAGGGCAGAGATCTCGTCCTGCACGGCCAGCATCAGCTTGGCCTCCCGTGTCAGGTACTGGCAGCGCCGCTCCTCATGCCGCAGTGCCACCGCCATGCGTCGCGACAGGTTGTGCATGCAGCCCAGCACCGACGGGTCCGCGTGGGCCTGAGGGCCAGGGCAGCAATAGACATCGCACGCGCACGAACATTTGTAATTGCTGCCCCAAAGTAGAGGACAAACTTCGGGATGACCAACAGCAGAGCTTGTAAGCAAAAGAGAGCTCACAATCCAACACATCTGCTAAACGTTTGGAGATGTCTGTAGGAGGGACACAACTGGAAAGAGAGCAGATTATGTATACCTAGGACAGATAATGAAGGCAGACTGGAATAAAAATGATTAAATAATAAGGCGCACGGGAGCAGGTTGGAGTGCGTTTGAAAGCTGAACTTGATAATAAAAAGTAATATACCAATTTTCTGTGACATATGGTTCATAAACATGGTCGTTCACAAACACGAACAAAAAATAAAAAAAACTTGCAAACAGGCATGGAGAGATGGAAGCCTATATTTACCTTGAACAATTCAAAACGTAATATGTTGCTATTTGAGCTATAAATATTAAGACTCAGATGTTTTTGGTTTCACATCAAGGGCAGATTCAGCCTACAATTATAAAAGACTAGCCTTTTGCCCGTCCAAAGACGGGTGTATTGCAGTAAATCTGAAACTTGCAAGCGAAAAGCAGATCGCGACGTGATATTCATTGAATCCATGTGTGCAATTTGTAAGGCCGCGGTGACAGACTTATTTCATTTAAAGGTTATAATCCCTTGTTCATCATGACGTCCTTTTTACTTCTATGTCTCAATAGCGTTACGGAGATCACGTGACGTAAGGGTTCTGCCTTTGTAGTGAGGGTTGTGAGTTGATGCTGAGGAGGGGGGAGGAGGCGCCTCACCCCCCCCATGTGGAGTGATGTCACCAGCTAAATATTATTAATGGAAGGGGGGTCCATGTGGAGGACGTAACCTGTTCATGATTATTAATGAGGGGGGCTGGTCGACGTAGAGTGCCGTCACGCATGGGGGACACAGACATTCTTGGCTCATTATAGTAGTAAATTTCATGTCTCATGCAAGTTATTTTACGTATCAATCTGCTACTGGTTATTGTGGTTATTTGAGCAGATTTTTCCCAGGACCAGCACAGATGTCACTACCACTGATATTATCCATAGCCAGGGATCAAACTCAGGTGGCCAGATTCATAGAGGCATGCTAGCTAAACACTTGTACGTATAGAATCCCCATCACCAGTGACCCAAGCATCCTGTGGAGTGAGAGGCTAAAGTGGAGATCTCCTGTCCTCTATATTTTACTGCATTGGTTGCCATGTGTGCCACTCACTCTCAGCGCAAACACCACGTTGAACAGGATCATAGTTGGAGTTTCTCGTTTGGGAGATGGATCTGTCTTGGAAACCTTTTGAGAAAAACAAACTTCACATGACAAAGAACGGTGCGCTAATTCATACAGACACAAGGTATCGCCAACAGTGTAGATTTGTATAACCTGCGTTAATGATAGGATTATATAGCCAATCTACCCGATGATTTAAGGAATTGATTACTCTTATTCTTTGGTTCTATCGGTAAAGTCACGTAGATAGAAAAAATAATAAAAATAAAAAAAACACTATGTAGACTGTAGCCTGGTTCTTAACCTTGGCGAGTGTACTGCCAGTCTATAATGTAGACTGTAGCGATGGTTATTAAGCTGGGTGAGTGTACTGCCAGTCTATAATGTAGACTGTAGCCTGATTCTTAACCTCTGTGAGCATACTGGCAGTCTATAATGTAGACTGTAGCCTGGTTCTTAACCTTGGTGAGTGTACTGGCAGTCTATAATGTAGACTATGCAGACCGTAGCCTGGTTTTTATGCTTACAAACCAGGCTACAGTCTACATTATAGACTGCCAGTACACTCACCAAGCTTAATAACCATTGCTACAGCCTACATTATAGACTGCCAATACACTCACCCAACTTAATAACCAGGCTACAGTCCACATTATAGACTGCCAGTACACTCACTCCGATTAAGAACCAGACTATAGTCTACATTAGTGTTTTTTAGTTTTTATTTTATATTTTTAACTTTTATTCACTTTCTTTTTATTCTTATTTTTTTCTATCAACGTGACTTTACCGAAAGAACCAAAGAATATGAATTCCTGCAGTCACGAAAGTTTTAAGTCAAAATTGATTACTCTACTGGATATCGGTCTGCTTACTGGACTAATTGGATAACATGTAAATATACTGAAGAAGCCTCACCCCTCTTCTCACTCATGCTGCTGAAAGTTAGGTGATGGGTAGGGCTTAGTGACGCCATCGGCATCATGTCACGTCACGCTGGGTGTGGCCTCTGGGGGTTTCCTACCTTCGACAGGTAGGATGTGGGGGGTGGCAGCCATTTTTAAGAGGGCCTAGGTAATCGATCACAAAAAGGGTAGTCGATCAACTAACTTAATTGACCAATCTTCCGACTTCTATAGGATTACTGCAGGTTCAACAAAGGTGAGCTTTGACAATCAGCGTTAATGTTCGTACGGGCTAGGCTTTGCCTCCACTTGGCTGAACAAACCTGTGGCAGCTGCGAGTGCTGCAGGAGGGTCGGGTGCCCCACGAAGAGGACATTGTCAATCTTCAGCTCAAACCGCTTGCCACACAGCTCAGACTTGGGCGCCAAGATTGTGGCCAGAATAACATCAGAAAACCTGCACGCACGCCAGCGCACAACGCGTTGAAGGGGCATCCAAGCAAGGGTCGCTCTCTCATCAGTCGGAGACGAACACCCGTAGACACTTTAACACAACTCGGATGGAGAGATATTTTAAGGCATTAAGCATTTATTGTTATTAATATTACAGCTAATAAAATATTGGTTTCACCAAGGTATGTATATTATCATCAATCTTCACCAATTACTGTTAACCTATGATAATAGCTGGAACAGGAAAAAATATATGCAAAATACATTATGTGTACAATCAAGTACATATGCAGTCTCATATCAGGTATGATCAGAACAATTTTTTTTTGCATTTTGATTTAACAAAAAATTTAACTAGGCAGTGAATGGGTGAAATGCATTAGTGAATGATGAGCGTGGCTTACTTTTAGGAGATGCAGAGAAATAAAATGTTTGGCTTTTTCAATCGGCGCACACTTACAATCAGCAGTGTGCGTAAAATAATCCAGTGCTTGCGAGGAATCAAGTACAAATTGAAGCCAAGCGAAATGTGCACAGCTCAATCATGATGATAAAAGTGAAAATCTTTTACATGCAAGCATGAATTGCATGAGCTTTTAAAATAGCACTCGTTTATCTTTCTACAATCTTTACCAATGCATTTACATATAACGGTGGAATCCCCAAGCGTTGTGTTTTTTTTACTCTGGGAGACTAATGTGTACCGTGAGGTAAACTGTCTCATCAGAGGAAAGCCAACGCGGTTTCACACTTAAAGGCTCTAACATCTCACCGTGCTCAGCTGCCCATATTGGCCCCCACCGAAAATATGAATAACATTTTTTTAATAACAGCTTACCTCGTTCAATACAAGGGGCCCTTATTTTAGTGTGGATTTCACTATGCTCTTGTGTGCACTTTAAATGGCAACTATTGCTTTGCAGGCTCTTATACAATGTTTGAGATTTACCTGCATTTCACAGGAATGTTCATATATATTATTTTATTGTTACAAATTCGCTTCTAAAATGTAACTCTACAACTTATGTAATCAACTTTTCCCCATAATAATTTTCCTAAATACAAAATTCTCCCTCCTCGTTATTAATCACCACTCCAGTTCTGACAATATCCACTGAACCAATACTGCATTAGTGATTTTAGTTGTTGCCAGCTTTGCGCTATAGACGTTTAGGGCTGTGCTTGGCATCTTTGATTGAAAAAAAAAATCAAATGGCCCACCTTATTGAACAGCAACTTGAGATACAGGTGCATTTAGAAACAGCAAAAATACTTCACGCACCAGTCAAATCCACATGGAACTGTACGCTCATCAAAAAATACCCAGTAATAACCATATCACCTAGTGAACCCAAATTTGTGACACACACACATTTGAAAGGTGGACGTGAGACTGGAAGAATGAAGTGTGCACAATCGTGTAACAATTCATGGACAAAAAGTGCATCACCAACGCCCTGTGCAAAATTACTATATTATTGACTAAACCCAATCAGGTTTATTCTGCAATTTTATTATAATTATTGTACTGCAATATGATTATAATTGTTTGCATAAGACAAAATAATTGTTGTTTTACGACCATTGTCCGATAGAAACATGTGAATGTAGCAAATGTGAAGCCAAAAAAGGCCTTTCCACATTTGAAATGACATGCCATCTTACCTTTCCTACTTAAATAATCCAGCTGATCACTCAGAGGTTTTGCAAAACACAAGGGTGATATTTGACAAATACAAATAAGTGAGTTCAGCTGCATCTGCAAATCAAATAAAATCATGATTACCTTTGGGATCCGTGCCATTCTTATCCTGCAAGGCAATCATGAAGGTACTATGTTTCAGTCTGCAGTAGTCTCGTAGTAGGGGTTAAATCGATATGTATAACCCCAATTGAGAAAATTGTGGGTAGATTTTCAAATGTGCCAAGTTTGCACTGTGATGCCCGCACACATCATGTGGCTAAAACATAATTGGCCTACTTAAAAAAAAGTGTTTGTTACAGTGGATAAGCAAATTTGCCCCATTCCATGGATTTCTACGGACAATGGTGATGTTCAAAAAAACTAATTCTGAATCATTGTAGGCAGCATTGGAATCCGAAGCCTGCAGTTAGTCTCATGAGGACAAAAATTCAGGCAGAACCACGCCTGGACTCCATTTAGTTTGGGACAAAGTTACTTTTCAGAAGTTTGAATCCCCAAGTGTAGAACATTGCTACCTTTTCACAACGTTTTATGTTAGTTCTGTACCTACACACTTGGAAGTGGGGGGGGGGGCCTCCAGGAACAGATTTTGCTTTAATGTAAATGAAGTCCAGCTTTGGCCCTGTTTGAAGTGCAGCGATTGACGAGAAGGCACATTTCTCAAGGTCGGCATCTTACCCTGCTACCACCTGCTCATCACTCTCACTTACAGAAGCGGTTTGCTCTCTGAAAAAGGGCATTTGTGGACATGAAAAAACAGCACAAGCAAAACAAATATTTTACGTGTTTAGCATTTATATATATAAAAAAAACTCACTTTAACACACTAAGCGATCATATTATACGAGAAAAAAATGACGACGAATGCAACAAAAATGTAACAAGTGACCGCAAAACACTTAGCGCACACTATTTGTTAAGTATCTCCCAGGGAACACGTTGTTGCAGAGCAACCATACCTCACGTCTCCATCCTGGTCCTCGGGTTCGCTGGGTGTGTGCAGTGCAAACGGGCTCCTGTGCTTGCCTGCATCGTAAGCCACGAACAATGACCCATTATATTATTCACCATCCCACCACCATTCATGACAACGGATGGATGTCCTGGTGGCTGGCACGCCTGCTGGCCAATTTGCAAAAGTTAAATTTGGTTATCTGGATACCGAAATTCACCACCGTGAACTTTGCTGGACACATTAACATTTAATTGACAAACGATTTTGTGGTAAATAACTAACATAAATTTATCAGACCTAACGGGAAATTAAAATGTAAACACGTTTAGCATACTCATGAATGGGGCAGTAATGCAACTTACGTTGCAATTCAGATAGTAAATCAGTGAAGGTTACTGCATAACAATGAGTATTTTATTAGCATTGGTAGTTACAATACATGACAATCTGTCGACTGAGAAAATGCTAACATCTGAATTGTACAGCAATATATATTTAGCGAAATACACACGTGTTTTCGGTGGACAATGGCTGAATAAGTATGCTTTTCTAGATTACAGTAGTCTTCATCATTATGGTGCCCATGTAGCAGTGGCCCATCAACAAGGTGGTGATGATTGTAATGTATGTGATCATGATTGCGAAAACAGGTGTGACAATGGTGGTGGTGATGCTGATGGCTAGTAGTGGTGGTGATGGTGGTGAATGATGGTGGTAATGATGGTCAAGTGGTTGGTTATGATGGATGGAATGATTGGATATTGATGGCTGTGAAAATAATTGTGGTGCTTCTGCTGGCTTTGACGATGTGATGGTGGATGCTATTATGTTGGTGATAATGGAAGTGATATGAACGCTACACATTTGTTGTTAATCATGATGATCTTAATGAAGGCTGTGGTAGTGGTGGTGATGATGATCTTGATGAAGGATGTTGTTTACGATCGCAAACTCACTAGTGGCAGCCTGGAACTGCTCTTTCTGACGTTGGAACGGGTAACGAAAGAGCAGTTTGTTGCCCCGACTGCCCGAGCTCACGAGAATGACGCTTATTGGACTTGTCTGATCACCACCGGCCATGGTTTCACCCAATTAAAGAGCGTGAACCGACTCAAAGAGACATCGCATCACGACAACCCCGACACAAAACACACACACACAACGCCTAACAGCGCAGCCCCATTAAAAGTTAACTGTGCCCCCCACCACCACCACGCAATTGTGAGTACGGCAAATGAAAGCGTTTGCAGCCTGCGAGTTTTAAACGGGTACGCTTTCACGAGTAACGCCTGACATTACTGCGAACAGCTGTGGCGAAGCTTGTTCACTTTCCAATCAACGAAGGCGAGCGGGTGAGACGATCGCACAATTCGACCAGCGCTAGTTAGGCCCAGGCTTTTTACGGCTTTCCTGCGCGGCCCCCGCGACGCGACGACGACGGCTCGGTCGGGCGGGCAAAACGGGGGTCGCGGAATGCGACGCTAGTGCTCAGATGAGAACGCGTCCCGCCAGGGATGAGTTTTTTTAAAGTTAATTTTTAATGAACGGCGGCGATTTATACGGAGAATTGTAGCGCGCTGCCGCAGACACAAATGGGGACGCCGCGAAGGTGGAACAGCACCCGGCACAACAGAAACACGGGGCCACCTTGTGGCGTTTCAGTGCAACAACAACAACCAACAATCACAAGGGCCGTGGTTTTTTTATTTGATTCGATTTATTTTTTGAACCGGGTTATTAAAAGGCCTCCCACCGAGCCCACGTGGCTTTCTTTTTTGTTATTATTACACGCTTTCTTTTAACTCACTCTCTCTGTTGTTGTTGTTGTCGTCCTCAAATCTTGTAACTCAATTTTAACCCACTTCCCAATGTGGTATCGACTGCAAACTTGGTATACTGATGTAGAGTAGGAGTTAGTGACGTCATGTCACGCTCGCCCTCTGGTACGATGATGTCACGCACAGTGACGTCATGCACAGGGAGCGGGACGGTGACGCCACGTCTCCCTGGGGTATTTAAGCTGGAACCCTAGGGACCTCCCCAGTACCCTTCCCCCGGGGGAGCGATGGGACCCCGGGTAGGGGGTAATTGGCACCAGGCTAGGGTAGCCTGCAAGTGTGCTAGGGACCTCCCCAGTACCCTTCCCCCGGGGGAGCGATGGGACCCCGGGTAGGGGGGAATTGGCACCAGGCTAGGGTAGCCTGCAGGTGTGCTAGGGACCTCCCCAGTATCTTCCCCCGGGGGTGTGGAGTGTAGGCAGTGAGTGGGCAGTACACAGAGTCGTGTGCAAAGATAGGTCTTTAATAAAACAACTGGCGCAAGCCCTTACACGAAGATCTGCCTCCGAGTCATCATTTACGCCTCAACACTTATGTCATACCAATGACAATACTATATTCTTCATAATTAAGGTTTTTGGGTTAGATCGCGTTATTTATAAATGTGTCGTAACCCTCCACCACCCGACACGGCCAATCAGCAAAAAAGTGTCACGTTGACAAAAGACAAATAGTCCACTACTTTAGCCCACCGGTGTGTTGAAGAGTGAATCCACAACATTTACAGTTGGGATAAAATACTATATTCTATCATCCAAAATAAATATTTGTAAACATTTTTTATGTTATGTTTCGGCTTGGGTGTAATTGTCCACTGTCACCTGACGTTATGGCAAACTTCGGGGCCACTTACTGGAGTCGTGGGAGTTCTGCCATTACTGGTACATTCCACTAAAGCGTGTTTTTTTAATATATTACTTATTCAGAAGCGACCCTGGCGATCGCAAATGACGAACTCGACGAAGTGACGACTTTGTCGCGTGGACATTGAAACCTTTTGGCGGTACCCCGGGGTATACCATAGTACACCCCGGCTAAGCAAATAATGTCCGTGATGCCAGTCACTTTTAATCTGTTGATGGTCGGCGATGCGGCAATCGACTCATCTCGACGAGCTTGTACACTACGATGCACCACCACCTCGACGGCGCAAAACGTCCACGCTGCGTTTCGACATCGCGGAGTGGCACCACCGATTTCGGATTGATTGTGTTACCCCAGTCACGGGGTTCAGTTAGAGCCCCTGGGGAAAAAAAAAACATAGTGTCCCAGGAATCAAATATTTTTGATTGCCTCGGGCATTCAGTGTTATTTGGTACCCAGGAGTACCGCCATAAGGAGCATTTACAGCGAGCCAAATATTCGTAAGCGCGCGTTTTTAAATGTGAAGGGGGCGGGGAAACCTTCACGACCTCCTCTTAACAGGCAAGGAAGTTAGCATATCGCCACCGCTGAGCCCTGTACTTTATACACACAGCCAGTATGCAGGATACACATCTATAATGCAGGGGGGATAGCTCGCGTAAGTATGTCCTTAAACCCGCCACCACACAGCCAATTCGTAAGGTTTATCACGAAAACAGAATATGTCAAACCTTACTGTCGATTGGTGGTGGGTTTAACGACACATTTATATTTACGTGATCTAACCCCCCCCCCCAAAACCCCTGTATTATGGATAATATTGGTCGCGAAAATCTACGCGTTAAAAGGATACACATATGAATACACAATGGCTACAGTATATCTCCATATATATAAAAGGCAAAGTTGTGAATATGTGTGTCTGTTCAAAATGTTTAGCGTACTTCCCGACATGCAACAAACTTGAAATTTGCCATGTGGGTACTTTCCAGACTGTACACCATGCAAAAATGATAAAAATACACTTTTGTGTAATGTATATATTTTTTTTGCACGGCAAGTGAGCTGTGACGTCAAATCTGTCACGTGACCCTCGCACGTGGAAGCGTAACGCAATGTAGTGTAGTGGTTAGCGCGCCGCGCTACGAACCCGGCGACCCGAGTTCGATTCCCGCTCACGGCCACCACCGGTGACGATGATTTCAACCGCTCCTGGGCCTCCCCTAGATCGACTCAGTCTCAAACGAGTAACTGCTGTGGTGTGTGAACGTCGCCACTTGGGGGACAAAGGCGGCCGCGCGTGGTGGATCCAAATCCCGGGCGAAGCTGAGTAGTGCAGCTAGTATACCATACAGTGATACACATGTATACACAATCATATCGGAATGCATTCTTACAGCCAAGGCTATCAAGGAGGTGGACGATGTTTCGCAGAATTAGTACGCAGTCGTCTCTACAGTAGGGGGCGATGTTGCGATATGTAATCCCAATTGAGGAACTGAAGGTTAAAAAAAAATTTTTTGACAAAGTTGGGCCAAAACGCCAGCACACTACGGCCCAACTCTTTTCCAATTGCATCACGGGATCTTTCAAAAGCCACCGTGTTTGTGTGAAATTTTCAATTTATCACGTGACTGACACACTTGTGTTTTTGCTCCGATGTTTATTTGCTTCTTGCACTACTTTATGTATTCGTATCGCTTCTGTAATTGTGGTGTCTCAGGTCGCTCTTGGTCTTTTCAGTTCTCAACTGGTTACGTAAGTTAATAATAGAGGTTTTTAGGTTAGATCGCGTGAAAATAAATGTGTCGTTAAACCCGCCACCACCCGACACAGCCAATGAAGTAAGGTTTTGTCACGTAAACAAAACATGGCAATTCGTTACTAGTTCAGCACACTTATGTGTTGGAGAGTAGACGGTAATAAATACATTAACTTGACTTTACTTGCTTTAACCTTACCCAGTAACGACAGTTCAACCGTGGGTTGGCCTTCATTATATTGCAATATCTTGTAATTGCCAAGTGGAATGTGTGTAAGTCTGGGAACGACAAAGCAGCAAGCATTCACGTTGGGTTTGAATGTGCCAGGGCAATTCCTTGTTTAAATGACAAACAAAAAAAGTTCACAAATTCGTCAAAAACACTTCCTTAGAAAGAAAAAGTAGATGATCGGCGATGTTTTGGGCAATAGCCCTTCCTCACAGCCCATAGTGATCCCAGAGAAGAGGTAGTTATTGACAAATGTGTTCAGAATATTGTTTTTTTCTTCTTGGTTCTTTCGGTAAAGTCACGTAGAATGAGAATAAAACACTAAAACAAAATAAGACAACATTCTCATTCAACGTGACTTTACCGAAAGAACCAAGAAGATGAATCCTTGCAGTCACGAATGCTTTAAATCGAAATATTGTTTTTTTTCCATGTTTCATTGTGCACCACTGATAACGCAGTATCATCAAATAATGTTTACACATGTTTTTTTTTATGCAAAGAAATGCGAGTACTCCAATAGAACATTGACATCTTAGCACCAAGCCATGAGCTGGAAAAGGGTCACTGGGTTTAGCAGAGCTGTTGGGAATATTGCATACAACCAGTGTGGCAACACACGCGGCTATTTCAAAACCATAGAACTTAGCACAACGTCTTGAGGCAAAACCCATGGGGATTTTGATGAGCAAGGGTGTTGAGTAATGGAGGCTCCGCTATCTGAGTAGTTTTGAAAGTTTCTTTCTGTCTGGAACATGTGCACATTACTATATTGCACATTCATGCCCCCTCCTGGAGAGGCTGCTGCTGCTGCTGTTCTCGATTATTACGATGGTACAGTATTAAAAGTATGACTATTCACAAAACATTGTTACTATATTAAATGTTGTACACTCTATGTTAAGTGGGGTGCTGCAGTGGATGGTTAGCATGGTGAACTAGGGTTGTTGTTATCTTGTGATCGTCGCATCACCCGGGGGTCGTATTAAACCGGTTAAAAACGGTTACCGGCTTGAACACTCACTTTGTTTAAACTTTGAATGCCGTGGTGTAATGACCAAGGACAATGGGCGTGCAAATAAAAAGTTCGCCAATTCCATTCAATGTCACGGCACGGCAGTTTTAAATAATTTTGGACGAAATTTGATTTAAAGCTTTCGGGACTGCAGGGATTCATATTCTTGGTTCTTTCGGTAAAGTAACGTAGAAGGGAAACAATAAAATAATAAAAATATGAAACAATAAAATTATCACGACATTTCGACTGCAACACAAGCAACCATCATCAGGTGTGAAAACCACAGCAAGAAAATTTGAAAAAAGTGGCGTTTTATTTTATTTTTTTGTTTCCCTTCTACGTGACTTTACCGAAAGAACCAAGAATAATTATGGACGAGTTGATTAAATTACCCCCCCCTCCCCGCGTAAGTATAAAGGCAACACATTTATTTTTACGCGCTCTAACCCAAAAGCCTTTATTATGGACGTACACCAAAGTTAGTCGATCGTGTGTGGTGGGCTGAAATGAGGGTACGCTCACCCTCTTGCAACATCATCTGGTGAGCATGGAAGAGTACAATACTCAATAAATACATCACTGTCCTCAATTTCCCTTTAGAGTTCCCTCTAGTGAAGTCCGTTTCGTCAGCAGCGGCGAGAGGGTGCAACATAACATAGTTACCATGTGGAAAATGGGTCCAAACGTGTGGTTTCCAAATGGCACTTCATACAGCCTCTCACACTTCTTCAGCTTTACACTCCTAGAAATGAAATCCAATGTAACCTTGCACGTTTAAGTGTTCACTCAATAAATGTCACTTGTTCTGCACATGAAAGCTCAAGAATACAAAAATGCCAACGGCCTGGTGGCCACTGACAGGGAAGATTGTTGCACGGTATTTTGTTTAAAATTGCTTATTTTGTATCGCCAGAAACGAGAGCTTTTTACAGTAGTAGCTTTTTTTTA